CGAAAATGAAGCTTGGGAGCCCATTTTCACTGGCAGAGCACTGGGCCACCAAAGGTGCCTCCAACATGAGTGATGTTGAGCTGGCCCTGGCTCCCTGAGGTCAGACACAACTCTGATGCAGCCTTCAATGAAAGCAAGTTTGACACCCTTGATCTACGGCAATGTTAACCTTAGCAAGTTTAAGATGTGTGGACTTCAACTCCAAAGAATTCCCCAGCAAACCTGTTGGTTCAGGAATTCTTGGAGTTGAAGTACAAACATCTTAAACGGGATAAGGTTGAGAAACAACAATCGAAGGACTACACAAATGAGTGGAAAGTTATTTTTGAAGGTATCTATTCCAAGATACACTTTACAGATTTACAGAGTTGGAAGGGACCTTGTAGGTCATCTGGTCCAACCCCCTGCCCAAGCAGGAGACCCTACACCATTTCTGACAAATGGCAGTCCAGTCTCTTCTTGAAAGCCTCCACAGATGAAGCTCCCACAACTTCTGAAGGCAACTTCTGTTACACTGGTTGATTGTTCTCACGGTCAGGAAATTCCTCCTTATTTCGAGGTTGAACCTCTCCTTGTTCAGTTTCCATCCATTATTCCTTGTCTGGCCTTTGGGTGCCTTGGAGAATAGCTTGACCCCCTCCTCTCTGTGGCAGCCCCTCAAATATTGGATGTATGTGATGGGGCCAGGGCAATGGACTGGATCCATCCCTTGTTAATATAGGTCAAAGGAAGGAGAAATCACTATTTCCTGAGATAGTAAATCTGATATTTGCAATATTAGAACAGTCTTTCCCAATATGATGTTCTCCAGATGTGTAGGACTTCAAGGACAAGAATTCCCAATCTCCATAGTCAGCCATATTGACTGGAAAGTATAGAATTTGAAGACCAATGTTATTTGGAGGACAATAGCATCAGCAGTGACAGTCACAGACTTTGAAATTTTGGGTGTGACATGGAGATTAGAGCTCTGCTTTTTTTTTATTTGTGTGCAATGTATACAACACATGTTAAAAATAGGCAGGACTTTGATCACCTGGTGGTGGCATCTTTTGGAGTCAGTGGAAGTCGTTGAAGGCATCAAGCTGGGGAAAGCTGTGTTAGAAGATATTCTCAAAGATCAATCAACGTTTATTTCCCAGCAACTTCTATCCATCATTCCTAGTGCTGCTTTTTGTTTTAATTATTTTTCTATAACAATTGCAAACTTTATTTTCTAGCTGAAATGCAATTTGTGGTATACAGAGACTCTTTTGGCCAAAGTAACCTCAGAGTTGGTCGAGATGCAAAATCATTTGATCTCAGGAACAAGCTAACAAGTTGCCCACAATTATTACAAACCATAAAAACTGCATATTTTGTGCATATTCACTCCTCCAGAGCAATTATCTAGGCCAAGAGCTCCGATTCAGAAAGCCATCTATTATTTAGCTAAATGTTTTAAAAGATGTTTTCTTTTAAATACTTAAAATTATCAGCCAGTATGTATGATTTGGCAAGAAATTGACATTCATATTTACTAACACAGTTCCCTTGAGAGAGAAGAGTAATAGAGATGTTAAGTGTCTTTTTAAAATGTATTAACTTTTCCTTGGGAATTGTGATTCTGCAAATTAGCAGAAATCTTGGGTGGAATTGCTGTCCAGGTATAATTCCCAAGATTCTTTGGAGACAGGGCCATGAAGAAAAAGCCTCCATCTTTGAGAATGAATACATGACCACTTTTTTAAAAAAAATCTTGGAAAATTAATTCAAACAGAGATAGTACTGTAGATCAAGTTGGGTATAAACCAGGGGTGAAGAGCAGTTCCACTGGTTAATTGTTCTCACTGTCAGGAAGTTTCTTCTTAGTTTTAGGTTGCTTCTCTGTTTCTTCAGTTTCCATCCATTGCTTCTTGTTTTGCCTTCTGGTGCTTTGGAAAATACATTGCCCCCCCCCTTTCTTTCTGGCAGCCCCTTAAAAGCCTGTTGCCTATCACACTCTTGGGCAAAGCATGTGAGCCATTTCCTCCTTTCAGTGGTCCATGAAAGTACATCTATATTATGTAGATAATAAAGTTGAAAAAAGGTGAACAACATTTTTACAGAACTATAGATATGTTGATGCTGGGTGTGACAAGGAATGGCTGGGAGGGGAGGGGCCAGGAGAGGCACCCCTTGAAGTGAGTGACATTGAGTTGGCCATGCCTACCCAGTCACATGACCACCAAGCCACATCCACCAAGCCACGCCCACAGAAAATTTTTAGATTTCATCACTGGTATAAACAGTTTCTATCCCGTGGTTTGGGTGGGGACCATTCCATCGTTACTGTTGCTGTTTATATCATTTGTCTGCTTTCCCAAAGGATTGAGGTAGCCCATATCCTAAATGTCAGTTTAGCTTGCAGGAAAAATAATGCAGTCGTCAATTTTGGACCTGCTGATTTGCGACTCAGAAAATGCCAGGGATGAAATCCTTCCAGTTGTTCACCTTAAGCAGAGGAACATTAATAGCCTTCTGGGTGGAGTTGCATATGCAGTTCTAAAACAGGGATGTCAAACTCACAGCCAGCAGGCCAGATGCGTCACACACTGGCCACGCCCACCCCCCGGTTTAGCAAAGGGGGGAAGTTGCGATACGTCACGTGACAACAACATGTCGTCGCGAGTTTGATACCCCTGCTCTAAAAGGTAGTCTGCTTCCTTGTTATTTTTTTTTTTAATCACACACCACTGCTAGGTGAAACTGATACCTCATTGTTTCTAAACCAGCTTCTTTTCTAGCAGTATCTGGTTAAAAGAAAAAACATAGCTCCTGAACGAACACATGGAAATCTCAAAAATATTAATATTAATTATTATGAAATATTAATTATTAATCATATATAACTATTAATTATATAAATAGTATTAATTATATATAACTATTAATTATATAAAAATATTAATTATTATGAAAAAGCTTCTCTGGTAATATTGTATTGCAAACTAGGACATACAAAACCTTTGCTAGACCAATTCTTGAATACAGCTCATCTGCCTGGAACCCGCACTGCATATCGGACATTAATACAATTGAGCGAGTCCAGAGATATTTCACGAGAAGAGTCCCCCATTCCTCTGCTCGCAACAGAATACCTTATGCCACCAGGCTTGAAATTTTGGGCTTAGACAATTTAGAACTATGACGCCTTCGGTCTGACCTAAGCGTAGTACACAAAATTATCTGCTACAATGTCCTACCTGTCAACAACTACTTCAGCTTCAACCACAATAATACACGAGCACACAATAGATACAAACTCAAGGTAAACTGCTCTAAACTTGATTGCAGAAAATACGACTTCAGCAAGTGGTCAATGCCTGGAATGCGCTACCTGACTCTGTGGTTTCATCCCCAAACCCCCAAAACTTTAACCTTAGACTGTCTACTGTCGACCTCACCCCATTCCTAAGAGGTCCATAAAGGGGGCGTGCATAAGTGCACCAACGTGCCTACCGTCCCTGTCCTACTGTCCCCATTTATTTGTATCCATTTCCTGTATTCATAATCATGTTTATAATTATATCTGTTATCTTATACATGCTTGACAAATAAATAAATAAGCATTAGAATTGGGGGATCTCAAAAAGAGAGACATTATTTAGAGAAAAGGGTAACCCTCCAGTTTTGAACTGAGAGACAACTTTATTTTATCTGGTGACACAAAGTCTACTCAAAAACTAGCCAGAGGAAGTGAGAATTGGGTGTTGGGGAACATGAAAATAGAGAGAAAGTTCAAATCATTTACAAAGAAAACAGAAGCACACTCTGATCTGGATTACATTTTTATGCCATATATATTGATGATGAAGGCTTGCCAGAAACAAACTGGGAATTTGAACCAATAAATTAAGAATTTTACGAAGTCAGCATAGATCACGGTTCTCTGGCTTATCAAGCAAGCTTCTCCTCAGAACTGAAGAAGCTTCTTGGATGAGAAGAGAAACGTTCTCAAAGAAAATAAAGAGCCAGTTGCCTTTTGAGAAAAAAAACACTTGAGACAACCATGACCTGGATGACTGAGAATCTCCATAGACATGTGGAATAAAAGATTTGGTTTAGTTTGGTTTTCAAAAAGAGCATTCGGTTTCAGGGATCTGCGTGTCTAAAAACGACAGCAAAAATTCACTATTAACTTTTAATTCACTAATTAAACCTTGAATTTCATTTTTTTTAACCTGCTATTAGAAAACAGCTGGTGAGTAACAGCCCTAAGTGCCTGAAAACATTCTTATATGAAAACACCAACTAAATGTCTAATGAATCATCTGCCTTATACTATAGGGCAGTGATGGCTAACCTTTTTGCCATCGCGTGCCAAAAGCGGGGGGAGAGCGGGGGGTGGTCGCACACGCGTGTGCCCATGCCCATAATTCTATGGATCTGGCCCCCTTGCATGAGCACGCAGGCCCTCCATGCTCCCCCCACTTTTGGCACGCGAATGCATGGTGGGCCCAGTAGGGCCGTTTTTTGCTCTCCCCAGGCTCCAGAGCCTCTCTAGGCCTCCAGAGGGCCTCCAGGGGGTGGGGAAGGCCGTTTTCACCCTCCCCAGGCTCTTAGAGAGGCTCTGGAGCCTGGGGAGAACAAAAAACGGGCCTTCCCCCCCCCCCCCCCAGGCCCTCTGGAGGCAGGAAACAGCCTGTTTCCCTACTTCCGATGGGCCCAGAAGGCCCGAAAATCAGCTGAGTTCGTGTGCCCACCAATATGGCTCCACGTGCCAACTGTGGCATGCATGCCATAGGTTCGCCATCATGGCTATAGGGTTTTCTTTTCAGCAGGTAGAGTGTCTAACCTTCTCTGCTAAGTAAGATTGGACCTGGTTAACATTGGGATGACAGACCATCAAAGAATTCCAAGACTACAGGCTATACTGGGAAGTTCAAAAAAACAAACAAACCCCAGCCTTTAACAAATCTTTTGTGTTAATGTTGTGCCCATGTAGTTCACCAGATGGTTTTTGACTTCTTCAAACGCAGGAGTTTCCAAGATCGTTGAACGACGAAGATGGCGAGCTGCTCTTACTTCCTCCTCCTCCTCGTTTTCTTGATCCCGACGTCTTCTGGTGTGCATGGAGATCATTCCTCAAAGTCAAACACAAACGATAACTTGCATAAGCGAATGAAAAGAGAATGGATCTGGAATAAAATGCATATTCCTGAAGAGCAGAATGGGACTTTGCCTCATCATGTTGGAAAGGTATGCATAGATTTGGTCATGGTCAATTAACAGTCACCCACCCAAGAGGTACCACAAGCAAATTCCTTACATGGAGAAGGACTTTCACTTTCTACTTGCCCAGCAAAGCCCATTAGGCAGAGATGCAATAGTACCTATCTACCTTTTGCATAATTGAACGCTGCCTTCCATTTCCTGATGTTCTGAGATGCAGGCAGCAAATCTTTGGGAGTGTGGTTATCATGAAATCTGATGTCCCATGAGACTTCTGGAAGGCCTATTTCAATCATCACCATTGTAGGGGAGAAGCAGATTTTTAGTGTGGGGTGTCCATGTTCTTCTTTGCAATTGGAACGCCATGACCCCTTTATTCAGGGGTGGGATTCAAAAATTTTAGCAACCAGTTCTCTGCCTGGTGGTTGGGTAGGCGTGGCCATGGTGGGCGTGGCCTACTCGGCCTCCTGCATCATGGCAGAGGGGGTGTTTTCGCCCTCCCCAAGCTCCGGAGGCTTTCCTCAAGCCTCCAGGAGAGCGAAAATGGCCTCTCTTGGGCTCTGGAGGCCCTCCAGAGGCCGGAAATGAGCCCATTTCCAGACTTCTGGAACTTGCCTGTTTTTTGCCCTCTCAAAGCTTCCATGCGGGCCCTGGCATCCAAAACGGTCCATGTGGAGACTCCTGGGTGGGCGGGGCAGGGCAGGGCGGGGCCAGCTAGTCCTTGCAACTACCGGTTCGGTGAACCAGCTGGAAAATTAGCATCCGAACCGGCTGAATCCCACCCCTGCCTTTATTGAAAAGAACTAAGTGGTGGATAATGGGGTAGGAGAAAAACTCCTCTTTCAAAAGATCCTGTGAAACTCCTGCCAATCCAATTAGATGACACTGGGATACATGGTTGAATTATCTGGTGGGCAAGGAGTCTTAATAATTTTAAGTATGCTTTCTTTCTGCTAGAAACTTCTCTAAGCAAGCATTCTTGTTCAAGCCATGAACACTCCTCTTTTTTTATATACTTTTTCCAGTTTTGTAACATGTGACATTTTCGCCTCATGAATGGCCTCTTAGTAAATTCTGAATGCACTCAGTTCTGAGAACCCATCAAAAAAAAAAAATGCTGAGACATTAGATATAAGAGCCTTTCTTGGACATTAGATACAAAAGCCTTTCTTGGAAGATTTGATAACAAAAGTACCCTCCAAAAAAGGCACTTGGAAGAAGAGGAAAGGAATTCACAGCAGCCTACACAGCTGACTTAACTTAGCTGATAGCACTTATTCCAAGAGCCCATCTAGGCAATACTTTTGACCTCAAAAGATCTCGCCTCTTTGTCACGGCAATCTGATTTATCCCACAAAAAGCAGAAAGAAAGAAAAACATGCACGCGGCCATTAAAAACCAGCTAAACAAAACCTTTTGCTAGCTAGGATGATTTGCAGGGCACGGAGTAAGTCTCAAAAGCTCCATTCTAAAGTAGATATTTCTGCATGACTCAAGTCTCATAGGGACCTCGAGGGGAGATGCATTTTCAAGATAAATCTAATAAGATGATGTTATTAATTTTGGATCAAGATTTGAATATACTATTTATATTGTATTCAACCAATTTTATATTAACCTTTTTGTACAAAACTTTATAAGCTTTATAGAACTATATAGGAGTAGTAACAGTAATGTTATGTACAAGGGTGGGCTTCAAAAATTTTAGCAAGGGATTCTCTGCCCGGTTGCTGGGTGGGCGTGGCCATGATGGGCGTGGCCTAGTCGGTCTCCTGCACCATGGCGCAGGGGGCGTTATTGCCCTCCCCAGGCTCTGGAGGCTTTTTCAAGCCTCCGGGAGGGTGAAAACGACTTCCCTGTGCTCCAGAGGCCCTCTGGAGGCCTTATCAAACTTCCGATAGGCCTGGTTTTTGCCCTCCCCAGACTCTGGAGGTTTTTTCGAGCCTCCGGGAGGGTGAAAACAACCTCCCCATGCTCCAGAGACCCTCTGGAGGCCTTACCAAACTTCCGATAGGCCTGGTTTTTGCCCTCCCCGAGCCTCCATGCGTGTCCTGCATTTACCTGCATCCAAAACGGGTCACTTGGGGACTCCTGGGAGGGGCGGGGTGGGATGGGCAGGGCCAGCCAGGAGTGGGATTTGGGGCTTCTCCGAACTGCATAGAATCTTAGCTAGAGGTTCTCCTGAACACCAGTGAATCCCCAAAGCCCACCCTTGGTTATGCATTATTTGCTGATTATATAGTTACAACTAAGCACAATACAGATGTAGAAGAAATTAGTATATTTTATTTCCGTTCATCATACCTTTAAACTAAAAGATCCATAATTTATAATAATAATCCCCAAACATTTAAATGAATTTACCTTTTTGCATGAAAAAGAAGCATTTTGGTGCTTTTTAAAGCTTTGTAAAAATTTCTTTTTGAATTCAAACTGTGGTTTTGAACTTTACGAACCTTTGTGAATCACCAATGTTTCTGCAGAAATATGACCTAAAATATGATGTGTTCTTCACACAAGTCCAAAAGCAAGATAAAGGGAATCCAATGACACCAATGATTCCAAAACATTAAATTTGTTCATTGACTTATTGAGGAAAAATTATCCGCATTTGGGCCTACAGCTAAGAATTTTCTGGAAAACAGAGAAAAGTTAGGTAGAACATAGATGCCAGAAATGGCAGAGGAATAGCTCTAGAAACTCAAAATCAAAAAAGTATACATAAAACTGAGATGCTGTAACCTGAGGTGGAACCAGGGGTGAAATTCAGCAGGTTCTGACAGGTTCTGAAGAACCGGGAGTGGAGATTTTGAGAAGTTTGGAGAACTGGCAAATACCACTTCTGGCTGGCCCTAGAGTGGGGTGAAAACGGAGATTTTGCAATATCCTTCCCCCAGGAGTGGGGTGGGAATGGAGATTTTGCAGCATCCTTCCCCTGGAGTGGAGTGGGAATGGAGATTTTGCAGTATCCTTCCCCTGCCACACCCACCAAGCCACACCATGCCCACCAAGCCACGCCCACAGAACCGGTAGTAAAAAAAATTTGAATTCCACCACTGGGTAGAACTATAAAATTCTCAGACCGTGAGATGGGCATCAAATAAATTTAATAAAAATAATGAAATGTTAAAGAATAACAATGGTGATACTGATTTTTTTTTTATCCTCTCACATCTTTTAGAAGTGATTTTCTCACATACCTATGTGTTCTAGATCACCTCAACGATCAAGAATCCCAATGCCAAATATGTCCTTGAAGGGGAAGGTGCTGGGACGTTGTTCAGAGTTAATGAATTTACTGGAGATGTCTCTGTGACGGAAACGCTGGACCGAGAGAAGAAAGCTGAATATGAACTCACAGCTCTGATTTACAATCGTCTTACCAATCAACAATTGGAGGACCCCTCCAAATTCCGCATCATTGTTCATGACATTAATGACAACGCCCCAGTATTTGTTCAAAAGGTGTTTAATGGTTCGGTGGTAGAAATGTCGCCACTAGGTAAGCTTTTTACTCCTCATTTTGGAGCCAGATTGTCTAAAACAGGGGTCTGCAACCTTAAGCACTCAAAGAACCATTTGGACCCGTTTCCCACAGAAAAGAAAACACCGGGAGCCACAAAAGCTGGGTGGGCATGGCCAACCCGATGTCACTCACTTCCACAAGTCACATGACACCCCCCCTAGCCACGCCTACCCAGCCGGTCATTAGGGCAGAGAACAAGTTGTTAAAAAACACCGGGAACCACAAAACCCTTTTGACATATCTCTCTCTCTCCTCCCTCCCTCTCTGTATCTCTCTATGTCTCTCTCTCGCTCTTCCCCTCTCTCTGTATCTCTCTCTGGCCACTTCTCCATCCCCCACCGTCACCCTTACCTTCTCAGGCCAGGCTAGGAGTGACTGGGAGGGAAGGGCGAGGGGTGGGGCCAGCCAGTGATGGGACAGGGAGCCACATCAGAGGGCCCAAAGAGCCGCATGTGGCTCCAGAGCTGCAGGTCGCTGACCCCTGGTCTAAAATGTCACATCACGTCGCTGAATTAATCCTTCAGTGAGAAAACAATCTGAAACCCTTGCTTTGCTTCTTAATGCTCAATACAGATACAAGTGAAAGCTTTTTGTTTGGATTTGTTTCTGGACCACGGCAAAATACATGGGAAAATCCCATTGTGTCAGCTTTGGAAGCCATATTAATGGCTTCAATCAATGGACACATTGCCAATGAAAACTAAATGAGCGTTAGGGTTAGGAACAAGGTTAGTTAAGGTTAGGTTGTCTTACAGGAAATTCAGAGAGCAAAATGGAGATTGCCATATTAAAAGTCTCTAATATATTCATGCCATGATCTAGAATAAGGGGAGAAGAGCTGAGGGAAATGTCTCTCATCATTGTATTTCTATTTTCACGGCTAATTTCCTCAGCCCTCTGTTGACACAAGATGTTTCAAACCATTCAAATATACTTGTTATTTTTCATTCTCTCTCTCTCTCGCTCTCTTTCTCCTTTTAGGAACATCTGTCACCAAAGTGACAGCTGTGGATGCTGATGACCCAACCCTTCATGGTCATGCAGATGTTTTCTACGAAGTTACTGATGGCAAAAACTACTTCAGAATAGACAACTCAGGTACAGGATCTACCGTATAAATAAAAATTTGTACAAGAACAAGCAAACGTAACTGTCTATTTTCTGCCTGATCAAAGAACAAAATGACATCTATTCTCTTTTCCATGTAGAAGAGATTGCTTAGTAAGCCTGTGATTATTTTAAATTATTAATTAACTCACTTAATTCACTCAATTATTAATAGCAGGCTGAGGTACACTTCAGATCTGACTGAGGAGGTATATTCCTTGTCATATCTGAAGTGACTAGCCATACTTGCTGTCAGGGTTCTGACGGATGCCCTAATTAAATCATGAGCCTCGAGCCAAGCTCCAAAAAAATCCAGTTATTTATTAGGAGCTTCATGTCGGCACTTCCCAAGTGAAGCCAGCTCTGACTCTACATAATTTATGCCCCAATTATGACATACCCCAGGATGTGTCATCAATCACATTCACCACCGGAGCAATTTCGTGGGTTGTACAGGTCACTCCCCTCCGGCTGCTGTAGGTAACCCTGGGATACAGCCTTGAGAGAGATAAGCATGAAATGTGCATCTGTCTTTGGCTGATGTGCCATTTCACTGGTTTAAATTGGCTGTACACCGCCCTGAGTCCTTCGGGAGAAGGGCGGTATAGAAATAAAATAATAATAATAATAATAATAATTATTATTATTATTATTATTATTATTATTTTTATTATTAGAGAGATGAGAGAGAGAAGGAGAGATGAGAGAGAAAAGAGATGAGAGAGAGCGATATGACAGATGAGAGAGAGATGACAGATGAGAGAGGGATGAGAGATGAGAGAGAGGGATGAGAGAGAGATGAGATAGAGATAGATGAGAGAGCGATATGAGAGATGAAAGATGAAAGATGAGAGAGAGAGATGAGAGAGAGAAGGAGAGAGATGAGAGAGAGAGATGAGAGAGATGAGAGAGAGATGGCAGATGAGAGAGGGATGAGAGATGAGAGAGAGGGATGAGAGAGAGATGAGATAGAGATAGATGAGAGAGCGATATGAGAGATGAAAGATGAAAGATGAGAGAGAGAGATGAGAGAGAGAAGGAGAGATGAGAGAGAGAGATGAGATGAGAGCGATATGAGAGATGAGAGAGAGATGGCAGATGAGAGAGGGATGAGAGATGAGAGATGGGTGAGAGGGATGAGAGAGATGAGAGAGAGATGAGATAGAGATAGATGAGAAAGCGATATGAGAGACGAGAGATGAAAGATGAGGGAGAAGGAGAGAGAGATGAGATAGAGAGAGAGCGAGATGAGAGTGAGAAATATGAGAGATGAAAGAGAGATGAGAGATGAGAGAGATGAGAGATGAGAGAGAGAGATGAGAGAGAGAGAGAGATGAGAGATGAGAGAGAGATGAGAGATGAGAGATGAGAGAGAGAGAGATGAGAGAGGGATGAGAGATGAGAGAGAGATGAGAGAGAGAGAGAGAGATAAGAGAGAGAGAGAGAGAGAGAGATTGTATATTTCTATCCAGTTTCATCCAAGTCCAACTTTCACATTTATAGAACATCACAGGAACAACCATTGCCTGAAGAATTTCAATCTTTGTGCTTTGTTATTTTAATCACCAGCACTCAAAATTAAACCCTGTTGGGGGGAAAAACCAGTGGAAGTGACAATATAAACTAACGTTTGTGTTTTCTTTTTATGTTAAAGGAACCATTTACACAGCTGTGCCTGACTTGGATAGAGAACAAAAGGCTACTTATACCATTCGGGTGAAAGCGAGGGACGGCATGGGTCTACATGCTGAAGAATTTGGCATTGCTACTGTCATCATTAAATTAATTGACATCAATGACAATTTCCCAACATTTAAGCAAAGTGAGTTTTGCAAAGTCAAAGGGCTGAATCTAAACACACTCTATCTTTATTTCTGCAGGCTCCAATTAACATATCATATAAAAATGCAATGCTTTGTTATTGCTGAGGGACTTAACTTTTGGCATGTTTTCTTTGCGATAGTATCGTCAGACACTGTAAAAGTGTGGATTGGAAAAATGCAAGTCCCTCTCATTACATTTATCTCTTCTTCATCATTGAAAACTTTATCTGAAATACCTGGGGGTTTTGGGGAACATCTTTTTCAGAAAATTTCACTTTCGAAGTCCCTGAAAATGTCAGTTTGACCGGTGAAGTCGGTAGATTAAAAGTAGAGGACATCGATGAACCGCAAAACAGGGATACCAAATATAGCTTTCGCCAAGGGAATTACCAAGACACCTTTAAAATTATACCAAATCGCTACACAAATGAAGGAGTAATTCAACCAACAAAGGTATTGTTTTTGAACCTCAATTGATTTTGTGTCTTGAGCTATTTATACGTTGCCAGTTAGAACTAGGTCTACCTGAAATAGTAAAGTGAAGAAAGCATATTATGGAATACATGATATGTGGAATGCATGTTATAGGGAAGGGGGAAAAGTAACATTCAAACATTATTACTATTATTATTAATGCTGTTTAGCTGTTACAGCATTAGTACAGGGGTGAAATGCTCCCGGTTCAGACCGGATCGCCCGATCCGGTAGCGATGGAGGCAAGTGGTTCAGAAAACCGGAGCAAAAATCCCTGGCCCTCCCCCATGCCCAGCTGAGCCGCGCGATCATCAGAGGCTTTTTTTTTTAAAATGCCTCTGACGATCCAAGCTGAGTTGCCTGATCAGCAGAGGCTTTTTAAAAAAGGCATTTATGTCTCTGATGATCCAAGCTGAGTTGCCTGATCGGCAGAGGCATTTAAAAGAAAAAAAGTCTCTGACGATCAGGCAACTCAACTGGGATCGTCAGAGTCTTTTGAAAGCATTTTTTTATAACCTCTTCGCCGAAGTGGTTGTAGAAAAAATGGTTTTAAAAGTTTAAAAAAAAATTGGCCACGTCCACTCAGTCACATTATCCCCCACCACCAAGCCACGCCCACAGAACAGGTAGTAACAAATTTTAGATTTCACTACTGCATTAGTAAATATGCAAGTGGGATGGGTGGCTATATCAATTTAATAAATAAATGAGACTAAAAATAATCTCGATATATTACTAAAACTCTTGTTGTCATGACCTTTAACTGGGTGAAACGGTGCATTACAGGACAATAATTTTTGAACCAAAATATCTTAAATGGGCTAACTTACAGAATGCATCCAAACTTCCTGAGGGAATGAAACTTGGAGAGGTTGTGGCTGCATCAGTGGTACTGCCGGCTGCTGCACTGCTGCTGCAGTCACATGATTCACATTTTCAATGTTCTATGACAATTTTCCAGATAATCTCACAACTTTTTATGCTGTCCTTCATCCAGCAGGCCCTTTCCTGCCTGCAGGGCACAGCAAGGCAAGGGTAAGGGATAGGAAGGGAGGGAGGGAAGGAGGAAGGAAAGGAAGGAAGGAAGGAAGGAAGGAAGGAAGGAAGGAAGGAAGGAAGGAAGGAAGGAAGGATTTGCAATCCTGGCTCCCTGCCAGATTCTAACAAAAAACTCAATGGGGAAGGCCGCAGGAAATTAGAAGTCATTCCCGCTCCCACTGCTTTTTTTAATCTGCCCTTGGTGATTCTGTTTCTCCAAATGAAATATCTATGAAATCATTAGTTAACTAGGGCACAAGTCGTCTAGTATCAATTAAAACCCACTCGAAGCAGAGAGCTCTTTAGTACAAAGTAGATAATTGCAAGATAATCTCTTGCAAGGGAGTTCCAAATAATATAGACCACTACACCAAGGTAGAAGTGTTCAGTTACAGTAGTGGCCAAAATTGTGGAAAGCTTTTGGGAAAAGTGTATTTTTGATGTTTGATGGCTAATAACATCACTTTTTTTGGAGTTTCAAGATAATCCTATTCCACTGCTGGAAAGGCCTGGGAATAGCCCAGACCTTAACCCAATTGAAAATCTATGGAGCCGACTAAAGACACTTGTTAGTCAGAAGTGACCCAGCAATAAAATCCAGTTAATAGAAGCAGCCATTCAATCTTGGTTTCACATTATAACAGCTGCAGAACTAAAAGACTTGGTTCACTCCATAGGAAGACGTTGTAAGGCCGTAATTCATGCTAAAGGTTACCCAACTAAGTATTAACTGACGTGATCATTTTTGTATATCTCATTTTTTTCTACGTGTTTCACTTTTCTCCTTTATATTGTAACTGCTATTCTAATAGAAAATCCTTCGTAAAAGTTATTGCATGACATTCTTGATTAAATTATCTTTCCATTAATATATACTTTTATGGTACTACTCCAAAAAAGAAGTGGTGTGATTAGCTAGTTTTAGAAAATACACTTTTCCCAAAAGGTTTCCACCATTTTGGCCACTACTGTATATTTGTATATTTTCAATCCAAATTTCAGTTAAAAATGAATTTAATTTAACTTTTGATCCGATGTCACATGCTTTGAGGAGCGTAACTCAAAAGTCTCATCTCAAAAAAGTTGTCCCCCACCCCAATAAAAAAAGCAATACTAGGAAATCAGTTTCTATTGCCTTTGTGAACTGAACATGTCTCCTTCTTCATTTAGCCCTTGGACTTTGAAAAGATACCTGAATACAGGTTTGTGGTTGAAGCCACGGATGCCAATATCAACTATGCCTATGCTACACGGAAGGGCCTGGAGAACCTTGCAAGAGTAATTATCAAAGTTATCGATGTTGATGAACCCCCAGTTTTCAGCCGGTCTTCCTATACATTCACCGTCCAAGAAGAAGGTGCAACGAAGATATCCATTGGATGTGTTTCTGCAAGTGATCCTGATAAAGCCAGGCGGAAAATAAGGTAATGGAAAGTTAACTGACCGTATCCTAAAAGTATCTTCTGAATATATATATTAAAAATATAAGCATAGAGATTCATTGCCCTAATGTGGCATTAAAGTGCATTTAACATGCTTCTGTTTTTATTTAATGCAAAAACCAGCTCCTGTAACCTTGCCAATTGTCAAGGTTAGAAGGAAGTTTGGAGAAGAAAATGTATTGTTTTCTCCCTTCCTGCTTTATTCCTAAAGAGGCCCACTACTCTGATGACTCAATTTGCACTTAGAGAAGAATTCTCTCCATTGCCTCCAAACCAAAGTTACAAAGAGGCGGCTTTGTGTGGGAGAACAGCAGGAGAGGCAGGAGGCAGAGTTAAGTGCATCATCAGCTTAAAGTCATTATGATCCCACAAACCTTCTAAGTCCAACCCTTCTTGAATTCCGTTGACCATTACCTGGTGCAAATTTACTAAAATAGAATAGAATTCTTTATTGGCCAAGTGTGATTGGACACACAAGGAATTTGTCTTGGTGCATATGCTCTCAGGGTCCATAAAAGAAAAGATACATTTGTCAAGAATCATAAAGTACAACACTTAATGACAGTCATAGGATACAAATAAGTACTGAACTTTAGTTCACTAAATTCTAATATATGGGCTTGAGCAATAAATCTTATAAATTGCAACTTAAGGTAGGGTCCTGATCCTTTGTGCCTGACTTAATGTCAACTAAAGTTCAATACCAAATTAGTGCCAGATAAGAGTCAACAGAATTTTAGAAGGGTTGGATTCAGACTATTTGTGGGATCGTAATAACTCTAAGCTGATGGTGCATTTAACTCCACTCTCCATCTCTCCCTGCTCTTCTCCTACACTTTGGTAGATCCGCCATTGATACATCTAACCATCAGGAACCAAAACCAACAACTCCTGATTGTCATCCAATTAAATTGGGGATATGGAGAGGGACATACATTAGAACACCTCAAGTGGCTAGTCTGATTGTTGCTTCTTGTATCGGGATTTTATTCTTCTCAGCCACCCGGAGTCCCTGGGAATGAGTTGGGTGGCCATGTATTAAACTTAATTTTATACATACATACATATGTATGTATGTATACGCAGCAGCGTGGGTAGTGACGGGAGCAGCATGGCGCTCCCATGTAACACCGCTCCTGCGTGAGCTGCACTGGCTCCCGGTGGTCTTCCGGGTGCGCTTCAAGGTGTTGGTTATCACCTTTAAAGCGCTCCATGGCATAGGGCCTAGCTATCTTAGAGACCGCCTGCTGCCACCGACGACCTCCCATCGACCCGTGCGCTCCCACAGAGAGGGCCTCCTCGGGGTGCCATCAGCCAAACAGTGCAGGCTGGTGACCCCCAGGGGGAGGGCCTTCTCTGTGGGGGCACCCACCCTCTGGAATCAGCTGCCCCCAGAGATAAGGAGAATCCAAGACCTCAGTGCCTTCTGCCGTGCCCTTAAAACCTTCTTTTTCCAGCAAGCCGGGCTGGCCTAATTTTTTAAGTGTTTTTAATTGTTTTGTTTATCGTTTTTAATTAATGGGGCCAAATTTATATATATATGTCTTTTAATTGTATTTTAATATTTGTATTTGATGTTTTTACTTGGCTGTTCACCGCCCTGAGTCCTCAGGGAGAAGGGCGGTATACAAATTCAAAATAAAATAAAAATAAAAATAAAAATAAAATGTGTGTGTGTGTGTGTGTGTGTGTGTGTGTGTGTGTGTGTGTGTGTGTAGTATTTTTCTATCGAAGAATCTGTCTACCCAGTGGTGGGATTCAAGTAATTTAACAACCGGTTCTCTGCCCTAATGATTTCTTTCAACAACCAGTTTGCCAAACAACCCCATTTTTATGAGGCTCAATAATACTAAGTTGACTTTTTCTTCTACCCACTATAGTTACCATATCTTAAGATCCACTTCTTTTGAAATAAGTACCAGTGGGTGCATTTTCGCCACAAAGCGCCTGGACAGGGAAGAAAACAGCTGGCATAATATAACTGTCGCAGCCAATGAGCTGGATCAAAATAGTAAGTATTTCCCTGTATCACCTACATGTTGATTAGTGGTGCGGTGGCCTAGAGGTGGAACTCTCACCTCACTGTGAGGTGACTGTGAGTTCGATCCTAGGTAGAGGTGGGTATTTCTCTCTCTGGGTGCAATGAGAATATATCTGTCAAACAAAACTCTGCATTGGTGACAGGAAGGGCATTTGGCCATTAAACACTCTGCTAGCTCCCTTCAGTTGCCCGGACTCCACCCCACAAGGGATTATGGGGTTAAAAGATGATGATGATCCACATGTTGATTAGTGCATCACTCCTACTGTTTTTCAGGTCCTTTCAGTTACAAATGGAGTAAATAAATATCAATAAACAATAGGATTGTTCAGCGCTTTGGATTTGAAAAAGCAAATGTGCTTTTGGCAGCATTGTAGTGCTCATTAAGCAGCTATTCCTTAAAGCAGACACACCTTTTCCTGGTACATCTGGTACAAAGCAGATATCCAACCATCTGGGACAAGATCCCATTGAAGGAACTACAAACAGATGTTACATGACCACATGATCTTTAAAAACATTTTCCGCCTTTGAATCTGAAGCGCTGCAGAGCCCTAATAAATAGCTACCAACTCTAAACCTTGCAGCTAATTGCCTGTAATTTGCAATAAACAGGAAAGCCCAACACTCGTTGAACCACTTCTGAAGTAACTTTTAAATCAACTATAAGCCTATAAATATAAATAAGCTTTTAAATCAGCTATAACAGGGGGGGTCATACTCGATTTCATTGAGGGCCGCATCAGGGTTGTGTTTGACCTCAGGGGACTGGGGAGGGGTGTGGCCAGGGTGAGCGTGGCCAGTTCGACATCACTCGTGTCAGGGGTGCCTGTGGTGGCCTGAGCACTCTACCAGTGAAAATGGACTGCCAAGCCCCTTTTTAGCTGCAACGGCCTCCTGCAACCCTCTCCAGCGAAAACGGCCTCCTGAGCTCCGTTTTCAGTTGCAACAGCCTCCTGCAACCCTCCGCCAGCAAAAATGGCCTCCTGAGCTCCGTTTTCAGTTGCAACGGCCTCCTGCAACCCTCCGCCAGCAAAAATGGCCTCCTGAACTCCTTTTTCAGTTGCAACGGCCTCCTGCAACTCTCCGCCAGCAAAAATGGCCTCCGAAGCTCCTTTTTCAGTTGCAACAGCCTCCTGCAACCCTCCACCAGCAAAAATGGCCTCCTGAGCTCTGTTTTCGGTTGCAACGTCTGCCTGCAACCCTCCGCCAGCGAAAACAGAGCTTGTGAGGATCGTACGCAGCCCTCCCGAGCTCCGTTTTCACTGGCAGATGCACCACAGGCCGGTCCTTCACTGTTTCCAGGGCGACCCTGTGGGCCAGATCTAAGTACCCCGTGGGCCTGATTCAGTCCCCGGGTCTTGAGTTTGACACCCCTGAGCTATAACATAGTCTTAAGCAAGCTCAGTAGAAAGGTTTGCTTCATGACAATTGAATAATGGGGAACACCAATAGGAGGTTTAAGAACTCATTTTAAATTGAATCAGATGGTTTTGCTTGATATTATCAATAATGATCTGCAGTAACTCTCCAGGGGTTTGAACCAAGAGTCATTCCTAGCCCCATCTGGAAATATTAGGTAGAGAATTTGGAATCTGGGGATCTTCCCACAAGTTTCCCTCCTTCACTGTACTTTTCATAATAATATGGTCTGGATGTGTTTACTCTAATTGGTTTCAGGATGATAACCAGTTAATATTTTTTTTTCCTTTTTCAGAAAAGAGAATCCCCAGATTAGAAACCCACGTACCAGTTTATATTAAAATTAAGGATATAAATGACAATGCCCCAGAATTCGCTTTTCCATATGATCCACGTGTGTGTGAAAATGCTGCACCTGGACAGGTAAAGTTTCTTGCCTTGCCAGCTTCATTTCCTGGCACAGTGAGATATAAGTGTAAAAGAGTTAAGCCCGTAGAGAAGATTCCCTCAAGTCTAGCTTGTCTTCTGGTGTCTGTATATCCATGTAGGTGTTCTTGGCAATGATATGGAAGAAGTTTGTCACTGCCTTCTTCTAGGATACTTCTTCCAGTTCCTAGTGTGACCTACAGTTCTGGGATTTTCTGCTGGTCTCCCATTTAAGTCATAACCCTACTCACTTTTCTAACATCAGCCAATGCTGATGGCGGTGTCATGCGTATGGTGTAGTGTCTCCTTAACCCAGGTAGTCCTCGAGTTACGACCACAATTGAGCCCAACATTTATGTGGCTAAGTGAAACATTTGTTAGGTGAGTTTGCCCCATTTCATGACCTTTCTTGCCCCTGTTGTTAAGTGAATCATTGCTGCTGTTAAGTTACTAACAGGGTTGTTAAGTGAATCTGGTTTCCCCGTTGACTTTGCTTGTCAGAAGGTCGCGAAACGGGATCACATGACCCCAGGACCTGGCAACCATCATAAATGTGAGCCAGTTGCCAAGCAACTGAATTTTGATCAAATGGCCCTAGGGATGCTTCAATGGGCGTAAAGTGTGAAAAACGGTCATAAGTCCCTTTTTTCAGTGCTGTTGTAACTTTGAACGGTCCCTAAAGGAACTGTTGTAAGTTGAGGACTAAATAGTCAGTCTGTGCAAAGGCTTCATGAAATGCTAGCTAGGTATCATTGAGTTTCCTGGTGTAAAAATACTTCATTACAGCTGAATTCATCAACCCTAATGGGTTTATTTTATTTCGCTTTCATTTAAACGTATTGCCTGAATTCAGTCAGTGGTGATTTGTAAATACAATATATCGCACCATAAATCATGCAAACCGTGTGATTTGTGGTGTGATGTATTGGGTGGCTTCAGCCAATTACGGTTTATTAAACAAATCATGGTAAATGTATTATGCATATTTAGTTTACAGGCTAGATTTCCCCTTTGATGTTCTACTGCTATATTTCTCTTCATGGAACACGTCACAGGACTCATTTTCTGCCATCAGCGCCAATGGTGGGTTCCTCCCAGTTCAGCCCGGTTCAGCCGAGCCGGTAGTGGTGACGATATGACGTCACCAAACCGGTTCTCTTTGTCCGGGAGCTGGGCCCTCCCGCCCGCCCCCGCGTTATTCCTACCTTTTATTTCTATATTTTAAACCCAGCTGATAGGTGCGGCAGAGTGGATTGCCGCACGTCATCTGGGCATATTCCTAATGCGCTTGCGCGGAGCGCAAGTTTGGCACGCATGCGAGCGAAACGACAACATCTTGGGGTTCTCCAGATACTTGGGGGGAGGCAAACTGCCTACCCCTGCCTTAATGCATTAGAAATGCAAAATCTTCCTTCTACTTTGAGGGGGTTGAACTTCTGTAGAGGGGTTGGAATAAAATATGGAGATTACCAGGATGATAGGGCTAAAATCAGGGGTGCTATTCAGTGAAGCGTGTGCATGAAGAGAACCGGTAGTAAAGCCGGTTAAAACCCACCACTGATCAGCGCACAGGTAGCTTGCAAGACATGTTACTCAGAGCAGAATTGTTCAAAGGGGTTATTTGCGGTTTTTGCTAACAAAATCAAACCATGCCCTTTGATTGAGGGCAGTGCATTTGTTCTATAATCCCCAAGGATTTGTTGAAAATAATCAGACAATATCACATTTTTCTACTCATAAAGGTGATCACAAGAATTTCGGCTGTGGACAAGGATGAAACGCCACCAGATGTGAAATTCAAGTATTTCCTGACTTCTGAAGATAGCAACTTTACCCTCATTGACAATCGTGGTGCGTGTCTGTGGAATATGTGCAATAAAAATAGGAACTATGGCTTTTTAAGATTGTTTGCTGCTTAGCAGAAATAAACAATGAAACAGATCTGGGGAACTCCAAAGTTCCACTAACATAGCTTACTGTCTTTAAAAAAAAAGGGTAGAACAAACATTTTAGCCAGTGGTGGAATTCAAAATTCAGTTCTGGGGGCATGGCTTGGTGGGTGTGGTATGGCTTGGTGGGCGTGGCTTGGTGGGCATGGCAGGGGAAGGATACTGCAAAATCTCCATTCCCTCCCCACTCCAGGGGAAGGATACTGCAAAATCTCCATTCCCATTCCATTCCGGGGGGAAGGATACTGCAAAATCCCCATTCCCACCCTACTCCAGGGGGAAGGATATTGCAAAATCTCCATTCCCACCCCACTCTGGGGCCAGCCAGAGGTGGTATTTGCTGGTTCTCCGAACTACTCAAAATTTCCGCTACTGGTTCTCCAGAACCTGTCAGAACCTGCTGAATAGCACCCCTGATTTTAGCCCTATCATCCTGGTAATCTCCATATTTTATTCCAACCCCTCTACAGAAGTTCAACCCCCTCAAAGTGGAAGGAAGATTTTGCATTTCTAATGCATTAAGGCAGGGGTAGGCAGTTTGCTTCCCCCCAAGTATCTAGAGAACTCCCGTTACTTGTCCCAGCTTCTGCCAACCTAGCAGTTCGAAAGCAGGTAAAAAATGCAAGTAGAAAAATAGGGACCACCTTTGGTGGGAAGGTAACAGCATTCCGTGCGCCTTTGGCATTTAGTCATGCCGGCCAAATGACCACGGAGACATCTTCAGACAGCGCTGGCTCTTCAGCTTTGAAACAGAGATGAGGACCGTCCCCCTAGAGTCTGGAATGACTAGCACATAGGTGCGAGGGGAACCTTTACCTTTACCTTACCTAGAATGGGAATGCTGTCTCCTTCTACCCATCAGTTGGGTTCCATAAACTGGAGGCCGCTATTACGTGTGGTAGCTGGAAACCCTTTTGAAACCATCACTTTTTGATCATTCAACTGCACGCTATTGCATTTTCCAGATAACACAGCAAACATCACCGTCAAGTTTGGACAGTTCAACCGAGAGCTACTCAAAACTCATTTCTTGCCTATCATCATCTCCGACAATGGGGCACCATCACAGACCAGCACGAACACTCTTACCATCCGGATTTGCCAGTGCGACAAGGAAGGGGAATTCACTCTTTGCGAAGAGCAAGCGAAGCAAGTGGGAGTCGGCATCCAAGTGTTGGTGACCATCTTAGTCTGTATTTTCACCATCATTGGTAAATCGATCTTGGCTTCTCCCTTTCTGCTTTGAACAGGGCAGGGGGTGGAAGGGAACTTAATACAAGTAGCAACCCATGTGATGGTGGTTTTTGAAAAGATAGGATGGGATGGGATGGGATGGGATGGGATGGGATGGGATGGGATGGGATGGGACAGGACAGAATAACAGAGTTGGAAGGGACTTTGGAGGTCTTCTAATCTAGGCAGGAAACCTTATACCACTTCAGACAAATGGTTGTCCAATCTCTTCAAAACCTCCAGTGTTGGAGCATTTACAACTTCTGGAGGCAAGTTGTTCCACTGATTAATTGTTCTCACTGTTAGGAATTTTCTCCTTAGTTCTAAGTTGCTTCTCTCCTTGATGAGTTTCCACCCATTGCTTCTTGTCCTGCCTTCAGGTGCGAATAGCTTGACTCCCTCTTCTTTGTGGCAGCCCCAGAGATATCAGAACACTGCTATCATGTCTCCCCTGGTCCTTCTTTTCATTAAAGGAGACATACCCAATTCCAGCATCCATTCTTGATGTCTTTTAGCCTCCAGTCCCCTAATCATCTTTGTTTTCCTCCTCTCAGAATCAATTGGGCCTTGCAGAATTCATAAAATAACCGTCACAGAACAAAACAAAAAAACCAGCAAGAGGGTTTTTTTAAAAAAATAATAATAAAATTAAATTTTCCTGTTACCGGAGGCAATGCAGCTAATATAAACTGAGCAAATATATAATGCTTTAACATGGATTTGGAAAGTTAACCAAGATGACACTGAAGGCCTGTTGTACTTAGTAATGCTGTTCTTCAGACGACTTGGTGATTTCTTAGATTTTTCCTCCCCTTCGAAAAAAAAAGTGGGGGGGAGGACTTCTGCTTTTCCCCTTATTGTCAGGTTACCTAAGGATTCCTTTAGAATTTCTCCAGCTTTCTGAGTCTTTGAAGGGGGTAGAAGAACCTGGTGGTTCTGCTTCTACTTCTTCCTGCTCTTTGAAACTTCCTTGACAGTCCTCACTTCCCAAGATGAAAGGGGTTGGAGTTTGACTGAAGCCTGTGAACCTGGGGGAGGACCCTGGAGATCACAAGGAAGAGACAGTGCCATGATAGATCATCTGTGCACAGAAACTCCTTGGCAAGAACGCTGCGTTACCATTCACACGAACATCCCCATTCCCTCCTCTTCGGGAAGAAATGTCAGAATAAATTCTCTTTCATCAGAGTGAAAGGAGCACCAGTGGAAAAATTGCAGGAGTGTTAAAAGCTTTTTTTTTTAATAGAACAAAACTCCTGTAATGGTATGTGAGAATGACCTTGAGGGACAAGGGAAGAGATGCTGTCTAGGAAACGATCAGACAAGAGAGGTGGGGGAGTCCCCAGTGGCTTAACTCTTGGGGGGGAGACTAGAAAGGACCAGTCCTAATGGATCAACTGGTTAAAAGTGGCAGAGATTTGTACCTTCAGATTTGCAAGCTTGACATCAGCCCTCCCAAATAAACCAGACGGGAACCATGAGCTAATTCTACTTTCTTGTAAGGCTACATTAACAGAATCTTGCAGAAGGCAGAAACTTCCCACGACCACTTTTTACTGCTTGATTCATTAAGGTGGGTCCAGGGGTGGGATTGAAAAATTTCAGCAACAGGTTCTCTGCCCGGTTGCTGGGTGGGCGTGGCCATGGGGGCATGGCCTACTTGGCCTCCTGCACCACGGCGGTGGTGGGGGAGTCTTCGCCCTCCCCAGGCTCTGGAGGCTTTTCTCAAGCCTCCAGGAGGGCAAAAACGGCCTCACCTGGGCTCCGGAGACCCTCCGGAGGCTGGAAACAAGCCCGTTTTCGGACTTCTGGTACTTCCAGTAGGCCCATTTTTCACCCTCCCAGAGCCTCCGTGCATGCCCTGCACTTACCTAGCATCCAAAACGGGCCACATGGAGACTCCTGGGAGAGGCGGGATGGGTGGGGTCAGCCAGTCCTTGGAACAACCGGTTCGGCGAACCACATTAAAATTAACATCCAGTTCACCCGAACTGGTCTGAACTGGCTGATTCCCACCCCTGGGCAGCTCCTTCCTAAATTTCTTCCTCTGTTTGTTAAGCCACTGGGGGCTCCTCCACCCCTCTTTTGTCTGATCATTTCTGGGCAGCATCTCTTCCCCTCAGTCCTCAAGGTCATTCTCACACACCATTAAAACGCCATAGAGAGGTTGAACCAGAGGCAACACACTTAAGTCACCTTAAAATGGCTCATGTGCTATCTTGGACCAGTGCCTGTGGTTTTCAAGATGTTGTTGAGGGCTAGCAGGGTTGGGGGCCATTCAAATCTCAAAGGGGATACCATGAGACAGGTCAGGTGTAGTGACAGAGAAGATGGGACAACTTGCCTCCAGAAGTTGTGAACTCTCTAACACTGGAAGTTTTGAAGAAGAGATTGGACAACCTTTGTCTGAAATGGCATAGGGTTTCCTGCCTGAGCAGAAGTCCTCCAAGGTCCCTTCCAACTATTCTATTCTATTCTATTCTATTCTATTCTATTCTATTCTATTCTATTCTAGTCTAGTCTAGTCTAGTCTAGTCTAGTCTAGTCTACTCCATTCCTATTCCTATTCCTATTCCTATTCCTATTCCTATTCCTATTCCCTATTCCTATTCCTATTCCATTCCAATTCCAATTCCTATTCTATTCTATTCTATTCTATTCTATTCTATTCTACTATTCTATTCTATTCTATTCTATTCTATTCTATTCTATTCTATTCTATTCCATTCCATTCCATTCCATTCCATTCCAATTCCAATTCCAATTCCAATTCCAATTCCAATTCTACTCTACTCTACTCTACTCTACTCTACTCTACTCTACTCTACTCTACTCTACTCCTATTCCTATTCCTATTCCTATTCTATAGATATGCCTCCCTATCAAATGAAAACGATAAACAGTTGTAATCAAACCCAACTATTTCATTCAAAAGTAGGCAACACCCTTGAACTCAGCTAGGTGGAAGGTATTTAATTCTCATCAAAGTGAAAAGGTCTGGTAAAGAATCAAGGAATCAAAGTCACAGTCAACATCATATGAATATGTTTTGTTGGCTACTCATCGCTTTCCCCCATATATTTTTTTTACAGCATTAACGATGCTGCTGATAGTCTGGAGGAGGCGGCACAAGAAAGATCTCGGTGTTCTCAAGAAGAACGTCGAAGAGATCCATGAGCAGCTGGTGGCCTACGACGAAGAAGGCGGCGGTGAAATGGACACCACCAGTTATGATGTCTCGGTCCTGAATTCAGCCCGCCAGAGAGGGATACTATGCCCCAGAATGCCTTTGGAGGATTCACCTTGCAAATATTCCCGCGAACAAAAGATCCCCGAGAATGGACTTTCAGGCATTGGAGAAATGGGCATCATGATTGAGATGAAAAAAGATGAAGCTGATAATGATGGGGATATCTTGCCCTATGACACCCTCCACATATTTGGCTATGAAGGGGGCGAGTCTATTGCGGAATCTCTAAGCTCCCTGGGTTCAGGGTCCTCAGACTTGGATATTGATTATGATTTCCTCAATGATTGGGGTCCCAGATTCAAGATGCTGGCAGACCTTTATGGTCTGGAACCTAGTGTAGATCTGATCTACTGAGCGTAGTCAGAGGCAGATCATCCCAAGCAGTGGTGAAATCCAATTTTTTTTTACAAACCGGTTCTGTGGGCATGGCTTGGTGGGCATGGTGTGGCTTGGTGGGCGTGGCAGGGGAAGGATACTGCAGAATCTCCATTCCCACCCCACTCCAGGAGAAGGATATTGCAAAATCCCCATTCCCTCCCCACTCCTGGGGGAAGGATATTGCAAAATCCCCATTCCCTCCCCACTCCTGGGGGAAGGATATTGCAAAATCCCCATTTGCACCCCACTCTGGGACCAGCCATAGGTGGCCTTTGCCGGTTCTACAAACTCATTTCATTTCATTTATTGAACTTCTATACCACCCTTCTCCCAAAGGACTCAGGGCGGTGTACAGCCATATTAAAACACATATAAACCACAAAATTTAAGAACAACTTAAAAACAAATATATAAAATTTGGCCCACGAAATTTAAAAACTAACAAACACCCAATTTAAAAATCCCTATTAGGCCAGCCCGGCTTGTTGGAATAAAAGAGTCTTCAGGATGCGGCGAAAGGTACGCAGGTCGGGAATCATATGGACCTCTAGGGGCAGATCATTCCAGAGAGCTGGTGCCCCCACAGAGAAGGCTCTCACCCTGGGTGTCGCCAGTCGACATTGTCTGGCCGACGGCACCCTGAGGAGCCCCCCCCCCATGGGAGCATATTGGCCGGTGGGAGGCTATCGGTGGCAGAAGGCGATCTCATATATACCCTAGTCCTAAGCCATGGAGCGCTTTAAAGGTGGTAACCAACACCTTGAATCGCACCCGGAAGACCACCAGGAGCCAGTGCAGCTCGCGCAGGAGAGGTGTTACATGGATATGCCATGTCGCCCCCAAAATCACCCGCGCGGCCGCATTCTGGACCAGTTGGAGCCTCCGGGTGCTCCTCAAGGGGAGCCCCATGTAGAGAGCATTACAGTACTCCAAATTTTCGCTACTGGTTCTCCGAACTGCTCAAAATTTCCACTACCGGTTCTCCAGAACCTGTCAAAACCTGCTGGATTTCACCCCTGATCCCAACCCTGTCCATAAACAGTAAAACTGAAAGACTGTTTGACTCTTTGTGCATTCCTCATACAAAAGAAAATCAGATTTTCTTTTTTATACATTTTCAGAGCAGACTGAGATAACCTAAGGGAAACAAGCTTTAAACAAAATCAGGTCTGTAGATATATATATATATATTTCCTAAATATTTCCTAAATGGGAATGCCATTGTACTGAGGGATTAGAAATGTTTCTCCTTATATAGAAATCCAATGTTTAAATGCTTTTAAAGCACTGTGGTTCTTTTGCCTGTTAAAAGAAAGCTTAGATTCAATTCAAAACCTTTATTGTCATTGTACATCATGTATACAACGAAATTGGTTTAGCCTCTACTGGTGCAGTCCATACGAAAATACAAGACAACATGAATAATATAAAGAATAATCCTTATACAGAGGGATGCGGTGGCTCAGTGGCTAAGAGGCTGAGCTTGTCAATCGAAAGGTCGGCAGTTCGGCGGTTCGAATCCCTAGTGCCATGTAACGGGGTGAGCTCCCGTTACTTGTCCCAGCTTCTGCTAACCTAGCAGTTCGAAAGCACATAAAAAATGCAAGTAGAAAAATAGGGACCATCTTTGGTGGGAAGGTAACAGCTTTCCGTGCACCTTTGGCATTTAGTCATGCCGGCCACATGACCATGGAGATGTCTTTGGACAGCGCTGGCTCTTTGGCTTTGAAACGGAGATGAGTACCGACCCCTAGAGTCGGGAACGACTAGCACATATGTGCGAGGGGAACCTTTACCTTTACCTTAATCCTTATACAAGTAGTTGGAAAAAAACTAGTCATATGTTTCCATATGTAATTCATATTCTGTGCAACATGTATATTACTCTGGTGTATGATCTTATATCATGGTATATACATCTTACACACTTCACTGGCACCAGTGAAATTCGATGTGAATCATCAGTTGAAAGACTATGTCTCGTTTGTCCTGATTGTTGCAGCTATTCTAATTAAATGTGTTTTTAGTTACAAGCTTTTATTGAATGAATTATCTCAACGTTCCTGTAACACTTTTACATATTTGTTACTGGTGGTAGTGAACAACTGGTGAAGGACTGGCATCTGAACTCATGTCAAAGATTCAGGTCCCATATCAAAACCTCTACTAAAGCTACCAGAAGATCAGAAAACGATGGTCTATAATGGACCACAAGCATTTGAAATCAGAGCAGGCATGGATAGAAAAACAAGGAAAGCAAAAATCCCTCACTAACACGGATGCCATCCAAACCTATCCACTGTTTTAGATGTGGGGCAGTGGTGGGATTCAATTTTTTTTTACTACCGGTTCTGTGGGCGTGGCTTGGTGGGCATGGTGTGGCTTGGTGAGCGTGGCTTGGTGGGAGTGGCAGGGGAAGGATACTGTAAAATCTCCATTCCCACCCCACGGGAAGGATACTGCAAAATCCCCATTCCCACCCCACTCCTGGGGGAAGGAAATTGCAAAATCTCCATTCCCACGGGGAAGGATATTGCAAAATCCCCATTCCCACCCCACTCCTGGGGGAAGGATATTGCAAAATCTCCATTCCCACCCCACTCCTGGGGGAAGGATATTGCAAAATCTCCATTCCCACCCCACTCTGGGGCCAGCCAGAGGTAGTATTTGCCGGTTCTCCAAATTTCCGCTACCGGTTCTCCAGAACCTCTCAGAACCTGCTGATTTTCACCCCCGATGTGGGGTCATCGATGCTCTCTGAGCTTGATGGTTTTCTTGCAAATGTTTCATTACCAAACTAGATAACATCGCCAGTGCTAGAAGGGAGCAGGTTCTGGGTAATGAAACATCTGCAAGAAAACCATCAACTTGAGAGAACACCAAAAACTCCAGAGTTAACCCTGAGCTACAAATAGTCTCTTCCGTTGTTTCAGATCTCACATATTCACTTTAACCCCATTACATGGTTTTTATCCAGACACCCATTTTTACTCATTAAAAAAAAAAAAAGCTACATTTTCAAACGCATCTAAAGCATTTCAGCTGCTGCCGGAAACTACCCAAAGTGAGCAGCCTCATTAACGGTGAAACTACCTTAAGTTATTTTCTTCTTCCAAATTACTTTTTCCTTATAGGGACTATAAAATGGGGTATTTTCTCATGATGGTGTTGGCACTTGCAAATGTAAATAGCAGGTACATTTCGGATCTGATGGTTCCAAAGGGAGAATAGACCTTTCCCTAATAATGGGCTTTTTTTTTTTAACTTTCGAGTCTGCTGAATAAGCCCCATGGCTTCACTTGTAAATGTTGCTAATTCATCATGGGACACCATAGGAGTTCTTCCAGGGGTGAAATGCTACCGGTTCGCACCGGTTTGGGCAAACACCGGTAGTGATAAAAACTACCGGGCTATTGGTTCGTCCGAACCAGTATTTCCGACAATCAGCTGGGCCGCACGGTTTATATTTGCTAGAAAGCAGGAAATGCTGCTTTGTAGTGAAGCTAAATCATGCAGCACAGCTGTTTTCCCCCCCTTGCTGTTCTACTTACCTTCCCAAGCCTCCTTTTTCCACACGAAGTGCGTGTTTGGCACGCACTGCACAAGCGTTCGCAGCGTGCTTTTGGTGTGCATTGTGCATGTGCATGCAGCATGCTTTTGGCATGCAACATGCACGCACACCATGCATTTGGCGCACACCGCACATGCGCAGGCGGCGAAGTGGTGGCAATCCGCAGAGGATTTCACCACTGGGTTGTTCCTTCTACTTCAGATATCTGAGAATTGCAATTCTACGAGTATTGGGAACTCCTAAGCTAATTACTAGGAGTAAAAAGCCCCAAGGCATGTACTGAGGTCCATGTCAAAGCAGGAAGAAATTTCTGATTCTGCTCAGAATATCTATCAGAAAGCGCCAGTGTCAGCACTTCAAGCTGCATTTACTCTAGTGCTGACATAAGAAGGAGAAGCGGAGGCGTCTGGAAAGGGACGTTTGACTTTTCACCTACTTATTTTCCCTGGAGATAATATCCCCTAGAAGATGGGATGGGAGGGGGGAAATTCCTTTGAGCTGGAGCAGTAGATTAGGGGTAGAGTGACTTGGAAGATGGCCAATGAGTGCAGAGGAGTGGGGAAAGGAAAGGGAGGGTTTTGGGTCAGGAAGTCAGTGTTGGCTACGATGGAGTCGGAGTTAGAATGTCGTGCTTAATAAATGGGAGTTTTTCATCAAAGACTTTGTTTGAAATGCAATTTATTTGAGACGACCTCGAAACCTGACAGCCAGGTTTGTAAGTAGTCAATGGGGGGGGAAGAAAACAGAAAAATGTCCTAGAAGAAGGCACATCCACATTGCAGCAACTAAACAGTCCCAAATCAAGGTTGACTTGAGAGAATCTTTTGTTTTCTTACGCAGTAATTGTTGACATCTGGCATCTTAGATAAGGTAGATCAGATAAGCAGCAGCAGATTAAGCTTCACTTGGAACACCCTCTAAAATAATCATTAGGTGGCTTGACCTAGTTTCAGAGAATGCTGAAAGTCATCTCCCCTCTAAAAATGCAAGACAAAATTTAAACACAGAGAGAGAGGGAGGAAGAGGGGAAGGGGGAGAGAGGGAGAGGAAGGGGGAGAGGGAGAGGGAAGGGAGAGGAAGAGAGGGGGAAGGGAGGAAGAGAGAGGGCGTTGGAGAGGAGGGTGGAAGGTAGAAACAGTCCCTCATGTAATCCAATCCCAAACCAGGAAACGCTTTCAAGAAAACAACCAGCATCTTGAATGGCACTCAAGGACACAATGGCAGCAATGCAGCTCATGGAGAAATGGTGTCACAAGCGCTGAATAACCAACACCATTTACTAGTCATGCTGTCACATTCTGCATGAGTTGAAGCTTCTGAACATTCTTCACGGGCAGCCCCACGCGGAGCGCATTGCAGTAGTCCAGACAGGAGATCACAAGGGCACGAGCGATAGTGAGGAATCAAACTATTGAGTCAAACAAGCCATGATTTAGAATGGAATGGAATGGAACGGAACGGAACAGAACAGAACAGAACAGAATAACAGAGTTGGAAGGGACCTTGGAGGTCCCTGCTTAGGCAGGAAACCCTACACCACTTCAGACAAATGGTTATCCAACGTCTTCTTAAAAACTTCCAGTGTTGGAGCATTCACAACTTCTGGAGGCAAGTTGTTCCACTGATTAATTGTTCTCACTGTCAGGAAATTTCTCCCTAGTTCTAAGTTGCTTCTCTCCTTGATTAGTTTCCACCCATTGCTTCTTGTCCTGCCCTCAAGTGCTTTGGAGAATAGCTTGACTCCCTCTTCTTTGTGGCAGCCCTTCAAATATTGGAACACTGCTATCGTGTCTCCCCTAGTCCTTCTTTTCATTAGACTAGACATTCCCAATTCCTGCAACCGTTCTTCATATGTTTAGTCCCCTAATTATCTTTGTTTCTTTACCTTCGAGACGGGATTGATGATATTTATGGTCATTGACCATAATAGCGCTTAGAACGCTTAATGTTTCCATTTAAAAATATTTTGATATCGCTACCTACCTACCTATAAACATGACTGCCTTGTTTTGCAAGACCTTTTGTCCTTTTTTGGTCAGATATCCTCTTGTCTAGAGTCCCGTGCTAAAAAGCAGTTTATAAAAAAAAAAAAAACACCTTTTGAGCATCACTTGTTCTACTTAATCCTCCCCTGCTCCATTACTTGAACATAAATCATAAAGTTCAACATCATCAATTCCCTGCGTAATCCATCAAAAATGGCCTTTTTATGTGAGCCTTCAGAGCTGTCAGCATTTTTGCAAGGATAATGAAACTGAACACCAGATGGGGCTCAGCTCCAGAAACGACATGAGGAAAGGAACTGCCTTCAACGCCTGCCTGCTTCTTCCTTTTCCGTAGTTGGAATAGACAGCATTCTATTGTTCACCCAATCCAGATGTGTTGGGTTCCACGTTTCAGACTTTTGCAGCCTCTGTAGATTTTAGACAGCTGCAGCTGCAAACCGGCATTCTCTGAGAGCCTCGGCTTCCTGATACAGTAAAAAGCACACAATGAGTCCCAAAAACCCTCTTTTTATTTCAACGGCTGTGAATTCTGCTCATTCAGAGCCTGTTCATTCTGTTCATCTGTTCATTCACAGTTGAGTCCCAAATAGTTTGTAAAGAGTCCAACAGAAGTCTGCCACAGTCCTTCGGGATAAGGCTGATAAGCACCCACCTTTATCTCCCTTGGCACACTGCCAAGACCTAATTGGCAATTAACTTTGCAAGGCCACACGGAGCACAGAGTCAACACGGAGCTGCAGCCTTGAAACTGGCCAGCACGAACAACAGTTGCTTCCTGCAAAGGCCCAGGTGCCTTTGCTCCTCCTTTATTTTATTTTATTTTATTTTATTTATTAAATTTCTATACCGCCCTTCTCCCGAAGGACTCAGGGCGGTGAACAGCCACAAGATAAAACACATAAATACAAAAATTTAAAATAGATTAAAACGAATTAAATAATTTGGCTGAATTTAAAATACCCCATACTTTAAAACAAATTAAAATTTATATTTAAAAGGGGAGAAGATTTAGGCCAGGCCAGCTTGATGAAATAAAAAAGTCTTAAGCGCGTGACGGAAGGTGCGCAGATCCGGGATCCTCCGTATCTCCGGGGGGAGCTCGTTCCAGATCGTAGGTGCCCCCACAGAGAAGGCTCTCCCCCTAGGGGCCACCAGTTGACATTGTTTGCCTTTTTATGTCTTATGCTTTATGTTTGCATTTATGTCTTATGGGAGGGGCCAATCATCTCCAAGCCCTACTCCTGAGTTGACCTTTTTGTTTTGTTTTGTTTTAACTGTTCTTGCCTTCTGGCAGCTCTGCACATGCGCGCACTGGGAACAGGCTCCCCCTGTTCCTCTGCCTCGCTTATGTCCGACTCTGGTGGCTCTGGTGTCCGCACATAACTCCCAGATGGCCCTGGCCCCATCTCTGCCTCCAGCACAGAGCCCGGACAACAACAAGTGGCATCCAGCTAGCCATGCCCACCCAGTTGGCCACACCCACCCAGTCAGCCGTGCCCACACACACACACACACACACCGAGGTCAACCACAACCCTGATGAACCACGGCCCCCAATGAAATTGAGTTTGACACCCCTGAATTAAGTGAGTGACTTAAGATGGACCACAGAAAGAATAAGAGAATTTTTTTTCTGCATTCCTGAATCTGGGTGGGGAAAAGCTGGAGGAAGGCAGCAGATTTGCCCCCTGAGAGATATTAGTGCAAATTACAAATTGAACTAGAATAATTCTTCCTCGTGTGATAGTTTTTCTACTTTCAGGAATTTTTTTAAAAAATGAAATTGTTTGAAAACAGCACTAAACCTACTGTATAGAATATGTAGACGTAGACTTAACCTTGGGAGCTTTATGGAACATAATTGTTTGTTATAAACCCCCATTTTACATCACTTATTGTTTCTGAAACGATTGCATGTTCTGGTCTATAAACAAGTGTAGCTTGCTGGAGGAAAGGATAAAAACCAAAAGAGTTACAGTTAGAAGAAAAAACGGGAATGCAAGATGGAAAGATTCATCACCACCCTCAATGGAGGAATAGTTGGTGAAGATGATGGAACTTTCTGAGAATGACTAAATTGCTGAGAATGGCTAAATCTTTGAATTGCAAACAGACAATTATCTACATTTCTTGTTGTCAGAAGCTCCTTCCAGACTTTGTGTGTGAAAGAAGGAAAAAAATGAACTTGGGGATTTAGGATGAAAGTGAAAAGTAAGAGCCGAGGTGGCGCAGTGGTTAGAGTGCAGTACTGCAGCTACTTCAGCTGACTGCTAGTTCAGCAGATCAGCGGATCAAATCTCACCAGCTCAAGGTTGACTCAGCCTTCCATCCTTCCGAGGTGGGTAAAATGAGGACCCAGATTGTTGGGGACAATATGCTATTTAGTATACTGTCTTTGGTGTAAGCCGCTCGGAGTGGGCGACATAGAAATATGAATAATAAAATAAATTAAATAATAAAATCCAGGCCCTAGTGGGAGACTAACAGGCTCCTGCTTTAAAATATGCTTAGAATGTCAGGTTAATAAGAGCTTAGGATGATCTCCAGCAAGATAAACCCAAGTTTATTTCAATTCAAGGAGCGGATGACACAGCTGATGGTTTACATGTAAGAAGATGTGGTCCATCTTGTCCGTTCATCACACATGGGCTTGGAACTGTCGAAGCACTGGATGAAAACAAGCAAACTTGGAGATGTGTCTACCAACAGCAAGATAAGCACATGCTAGATGGCTTTATCCCATTAAGTATTACACAGCGCTGCAATCAATCAGTTGCTCTTTGTGGAAAAGTTGGACAGGTTATGGCTCTTGAGCGAATCCCCAAAGTGCTTCGTATGAGATCAATTCAAACATCTGCCAAGGATGATCTGTGCCTTCCCAGCAGAAACCTTGCAAGAAGTGGAAAGGAGATGAGAGAGAGAGAGAGACGGAGAGAAAAGACATAGCAAGAAAGGAGATAGAAGTTAGAATCATAAGGACTTGGGAGGTTTCAAATGGTTGTCTATTTTTGAAAACTTCCAGTGATGGAGCACCCACAGCTCCAGAAGGCAAGCTATATCATTGACGGTTCTCCATGTCAGAAACTTTTCCTTACTTCTAGGTTGGAGCTCTCTTTTAACAAGCTTCCACTCATTACTTCTTGTCCTGCCCTCGGGGGCTTTGGAGAAGAAATCAATTCTCTCTTCTCTGTGACATCTCCTCAAGTACTGAAAGACTTCATGTCCCCACCACAATCCTTCTCCAATCTTTGGAGACAATCCTCGTCTACAATCCTTCTCTACAATAGACAAAGTCCTGCCTCGTGATCTATTATCCCCTGTGGAATCAGGTTCTTTCCTCACTCCTATTTTAAGGTATCACAAGACTCTATAATTCTCCTTGCAGCAACTGACACAGTTTATTAACACCTGATTTTCACGTTCCGCTATCGTAACTTTTTAACTCTTTAAAACTCTTTTTTTTCCCCTCCTAACCAGGTTCATCTGTCACTAAGCGGGTACGTATAGGATTCCCTAAAGCTGTAGTTTACAGACTAACAATGGTTGAGACCACCATTTCGCAGATCCTGGTTTGAGGGACCCTGCAGGCAAATAAATAAATAAATATTGAAACGAAGCTTAATGGATTTAATGAATAATTAATGGATGGATCTCATGAATAATCCATTGAGGTTTTGCTTGCTATGTCTCCTCCTGAACTGGAAAAGAGAACAAAAGGGCTCCTTCAATAAGGGAGAGCCATGGCTGGGTTCATATAATGCATTTAACCCAGTGAATTGAAAACGCAGCCTGATGGGATTAGCACCAAATGGGCCCTGTTTGGTTAGGAGTAACCAGGGTTAACCACTGGTGTATTAGATATGAATATTATATGAATATTATTATTATTATTAAGAGCCTTGGTGGCGCAGCAGACTAAAGCGCTGTTAAGTAACACCAGCTGCCTGCAATTATTGCGAGTTCAAATCTCACCAGGCTCAAGGTTGACTCAGCCTTCCATCCTTTCGAGGTAGGTAAAATGAGGACCTGGATTGTGGGGGCAATAAGATGACTTTGTATAAAAAAGAACACCGCTTGGGGGGGGGGCAAAAAAAGCCCTACTAAGCAGGTATATACAAAAGTATGAAGGCTATTGCTTAACGCATTGTAAGCCTCCCTGAGTCTCCGGAGAAGGGCGGCATATAAATCAAACCAATCAATCAATATTATTATTATTATTATTATGGCCAGGACTATGATTCTGAGCAAGGTCTACAGGGGAATGAGCTCCCCCCGAAGATACGGAGGATCCCAGATCTGCGTACCTTCCGTCGCGCGCTCAAGACTTTCTTATTTCATCAAGATGCCCTGACCTAAGTTTTTCCCCTTTTTAAATTGAAATTTTAAATTTGGTTTTAAATTATTGGGGTTTTAAATTTGTTCTGCCAAATTATTTAATTCGTTTTATTCTATTTTAAATTTTGTATTTATATGTTTTATTCTATGGCTGTTCACCGCCCTGAGTCCTTCGGGAGTAGGGCGGTATACAAATTCAATAAAATAAATAAAATAAATACAGTACACGGACATCGGTGTCCAATCCACAGGGCAGCTGGGCATTTCCCATCAGATCCCGATTGGATCTTCTTCTTTTTTTTTTTTTTTAATTTGATTTATATGCCGCCCTTCTCCGAAGACTCAGGGCGGCTTACAATGCGCTAAGCAATAGCCTTCATCCTTTTGTATATTTATACAAAGTCAGCTTATTGCCCCCACAAACTGGGTCCTCATTTCACCTACCTTAGAAAGGATGGAAGGCTGAGTCAACCTTGAGCCTGGTGAGATTTGAACTTGCAGTAATTGCAGGCAGCTGGTCTTAATAAGCTTAATAACAGGGTGCCTTAAACCCCTGTACTACCAAGGCTCTTTCTTTCCCCCACCCCTCCCTTCCAGGAGTAACAGTCAGTACCCAAATTGAGCGGGACCTAAAATAGTGCAAAGAAAAACAACCCTTCCCATCCTCCATTCCATCTCCATCCCCTTAACCCCCCCCCCAAAAAAAGCGGTCCAACTTGAGTTGCCAACCCAACCCAACCCATCTCTTTCCAAAGCTTCGGATGCGCCCTAGTCTCGCTCGGGGGAAAAGGGGAAGCGATGGGGGCGCTTTTCCTTTTGTTCCTCCAGCCTCGGCAAAAAGGGTTGGGGAGAAGGGGTGGGTGGGAGGTGTGCAGCGCGGGGCTGGGTTTGCTTGGGACGCAACCGAGCCCCCCTCCCCTCCCGTTGCCTGCCTTCCCCCCTCCCCACCCCTCCCCATGGCTCTCCGCGTCTCCCGCCGCTGCATCACGGCTGGCCGTCCCAGGAGCATCTTTTCCGGGCGTCCGCTCTCTCTGCTTGGGAGCCACCGCCGCTGCCGCCGCCCTGGAGAAGTCGTCGAGGAGCCTTATGCGCCATCGTCGCCCTGTTCTCCGCTGCTCCGGTTCGCGACCCAGGAGGAGGAGGAGGAGGAGGAGGAGGAAGAGGAGGAGGAGGCGCTGGGCGAGCCCGCATGGAGAGGCAGGACTCTTGCTGGATGCGCTCCGAGAAGGGGAAGGGGAAGGGGAGGAGGAGAGAGGAGGAGGAGGTGGGCGAGGGAAGGGCTCACCGGGTGGCTGCTTCGCTCCCCCCTCCCCTCCTTTCTTTCCCACCCCCCTTTCTCCCCTCCCCGGCTGCCGCTCCCTGATTGGGGCGCTGGAGGGCGACTCCTGGGTAGGAGACAACGGGTTTTGGGGGGGGGGTTAGGATGTAGCCCCGCCTGGGGAGGGACAGGGGCTTCCCACCCTCCCCGATCGCTTCGCTCCTGCTGGTGGAGTTAAATCAAGGGCTTGGCTTCCCCAAAGGGGCTTTTTCCCTTTGGGGACTTCCTTCCCCAAGTCAAGTCTTTTAAAGAGAAGCAAAAGCAGATTTTGTCCCACCTGAGCTGGGAGGGGGGAAAAGAGTGGGGGGGGGCTCGGAAAGCTTTAAGCTCTGCTCCCCCTGCCACAAAAGCGGAGAAGTCCTTAGGGCGGGGTGAGCCATTGTCTGGGCTGGGAAGTGGGGAGGAGGGGCTCAACTGCACGAGGGGATCCGGAGAATGGATGGGTGGGTGGGCGCGCGGTAGGTCGGGAGCGCGCCTTCTCTCCCCCCCCCCCTTCCACCTTCCTCCCCCCCTTCCTCTCCCCGCGTGTGCTGTGTAGCCTGCAGCGGTTCCGGTTAATTGGCTTGCGGTCCTCTCCGTGGAAACATCTGGGGGCGGGTGGGGGAGGGGCAGGGAAGAGGAAGGAGGGAGGGGAAGAAAAAAAAAAAACCCCACTCCGGGCAAAAGTCTGCTGGACTCAACATGCCTCCGGCGGTCCTGCGGGAAAAGCCGTCTCGTCGCCCCGAGAAAGTCCGCAGCAGGGGGGAAAACTTCGGGATCATGGAGAAGAGCCCATCGCACGTATGTATGCAGAGGTGGATGGAGGCGGATGGGGATGGGGCGGCGTTTGGGGGTGGAGGGGGGGTAGAGAGGTTGCCTTTCCACTCTCTCCTGTCTTCTCCATCCTTGGAAGGATGGAGACAATGCAGCCAAGGACCAAGCCGGATTTCACTCCCTTCGGTTTTCACTTTCTAGGATGGGGAGAAAGTAAAGGGCTGAAGTTGAAGAGGCAAGGAACCGGGGAGTGGTGCGATCGGGCGGCCATTCTCTGAACAATGGAGCCAGGTGCCTTCCAGTCTCATTTTCCGCCCATGCCTCTCCGTCCCAACAATGGGAGGTGGGGTGGGAAGCTTAATTCCTGAAGCTTGTGCATCAAGAAAATCTAGGTGCCTGTATGGGCTTCTGGTCTACAGAAAAAAAAAAAATCAGCCTCTTTTTAAGAACCTGGAAGGCTTGAAGTTTCTGTTGCTGTCCCTTTCTGGAGGCATGGAGTTTCTGGAAGAGGGAAGCTCTAGTTTAGTTTGAGGTCTGACCATCAGCAAAAGAAAAGCTGGGGTTTATATATATATATATATTATTTTTATTTTATATCAAATTTATTTACATCCTTTCTAAGGTAGGTAAATTGAGGACCCAGTTGTGGGGGCAATAAGCTGACTTTGTATAAATATACAAAAGGATGAAGGCTATTGCTTAGCACATTGTAAGCCGCCCTGAGTCTCCGGAGATGGGCGGCATATAAATCAAATTTTATATATATATATACCGCCCTTCTCCCTGAGGACTCAGGGCAGTGTACAGCCAAATAAAAACATAAATTACAAACATTAAAATACTATTAAAAAGATATATATAAATTTGGCCCCGTAATTAAAAAACAATGACAAACCAGTTAAAAATATTTAAAAGTGTTAAGCCAGCCCGGCTTGCTGAAAAAAGAAAGTTTTAAGGGCACGGCAAAAGGCACTGAGGTCAAATTTTAAATTTGATTTATATGCCGCCCTTCTCCGGAGACTCAGGGCGGCTTACAATGCGTTAAGCAATAGCCTTCATACTTTTGTATATTTTATACAAAGTCAGCTTATTGCCCCCATAATTTGGGTCCTCATATTTGCATGTGAATCCCCTCTCTGGTGTTTGGATTCCAGCAGAACAGAAACCAGAAGGCAAAACAGAATGAACTAACTTTGGCCTAAAATGAATAGGGTGGGTGGGTGAGAAAGGTTTTTGTTTGGGAGTGCTGACTTCCTGGCCAAATCCAAGACAAGCCCATCAAGATTCAGAATGCCAAACCTTGGGATCAAATTAGTGCTAGTGTAATCACTTTTTGAAGCTGGCTGGTGCTTAGTCTGCAATTTCTACCTTTTGGTAGAAATGGCTAAACTGAACGAAAAGATTTCAAAGAAAAGAGTTGGAGGACAGCCAAACCCAGGCTCAGTTTCTCATATTCCTAATCTCCATTTGGTTTCCTGGTCAGTTTGGAAATTTGGAGAGGGGAGAGTTGAACGGGTTTTTTGCCCACTTCTTCCAATGGTTGTGCATTGCACTCTTCCCTGAATGCTTTGTTTCAAAATATGCACTGGTGTGGCACTTTTCATTAATATTATTCTACTTTTAAAAAGGGGGGGGTTGAATATGAGCGCATGTCTTAATTCTTTTTTTGCCTGTGGATTTTGGTGTGTGCAAATTGGATAAATTCATGCAAACATGTTGGTTTTTTTTTTAAACTGCAAAAGATTTTTTTACCTTGAGGCCAAACCAGCGATCCATCTCAACTCAAGTGTTCCTAATCTGATTGCTGGGCATTGTCCAGAGTTTCAAATCAGTGTCTTTTTTTATTAGTCATATCTGGGCCTACCTGAACCTTTCTGTCTGCAAAGCAAGATGGGGTGCTTCTCTTTCAAGGTTTCTAGAGATCAGAAACCTTGTATATGTTTCTTACTGACCGGGGAATCTTTCGGGGGGGTGAGGGGTGAGAGGAGGGAAGGAATGCTTTTGTTGAAATAGCTGGATTTGATGTCACTTGGCTGGAGATGTTTATAATGAATTTCCAAAATTGGGCTAGTAAATTCAGCGGGGGTACTTTCACAATGTTAGGTACCACTAGTTAATATCTGCTACATCACTGATGGCTAACCTTTTCCGGAACGAATGCCCAAAGCGCCCGTGTGCGCCCACAAATGCAAGCATATGCGCCCAAATCCCCAAAATGTAATGCACACGCAGCCCCGCGCATGCACCCCGCCACCCCGCCCATGCACATGCGCCCCCCCAGCACACTTGCAGCCCCCTGCGCATGCACATGTGGTTTCCCCACATGCACTCTGCCCCAGGGGTGACAGGTTCTGAAGAACCGGTAGCGGAAATTTTGAGTAGTTCAGAGAACTGGCAAATACCACCTCTGACTGGCCCCAGGGTGGGGTGAGAATGGAGATTTTGCAATATTCTTCCCCCAGGAGTGGGGAGGGAATGGGGATTTTGCAGTATCTTTACCCTGCCACACCCACCAAGCCACACCACGCCCACCAAGCCACACCCACAGAACCGGTAGTAAAACAATTTGGATTTCACCACTGCCCCCCCGTGCATGCACCCTGTCCCTACGCATGCACACCCAGCCCCCCCAGCACACGAACAGCTCCCGCATGCACATGTAATCCCACACATGCACCCTGCCCCCCCCGTGCATACGCGCACAGTCCCCGTGCATGCACGGCAGAGACCTGAAGACCAGTTGGCCGGCGGGAGGCATGTATGCATGTGCAACAGAACTGAACTGGGGCAACGGCTCACGTGCCATCAGAGAGGGCACTGTGTGCCCTCTCTGGCACATGTGCCATCGGTTCGCAATCACGGTGCTACGCAAACGAAGGCGAAGTATTAAAACTCTCTTCTCTTTCTCTTTTTCTCCTTAGTTCTTTTCTTCCACTTTTCTCTGCTTCTGGGAAGTAATGTCCAAATTAGAACCGGTGGCAGTTATTTCAGTCTCTAAGTAACATGCCAAGGTTGAAGAGTTTATGTGGTGGAATATAGTAGGCCAGACTATAATAGGAGGACTCGAGAGGACAGTTCAGTACAGATAATTTGTGTGAGTGAACGAGGGTGAAGGCAGCTCCTCCCTAACAGTTCTGAGTATGTGCTTGATGTAGATCAGGCGTGTCCAATGTGCAGGCCGCAAGCCACGTGTGGCCCTGGACAGCTAGCAATGCGGCCTCCCACAAGATTCTAAACTTTTAACATTGTTATACAATTTATGTATCTTAACTATATTATAGATTTTCATACGCCATCCAAGACAATTCCTCTTCACTCAATGTAGGCCCAGACAAACCAAAAGGTTGGACACCCATGATGTAGATAGTAGACTGCTTTAGTTTGGCAAGATTCTGTCTATCGGAGTGAAACAATGTGAAATCTGCTTGGAAGAATCACCCTATTCGAAAGTAATTTTCTTGAGCTGAGAATAAATCTTCCTTTGTGCAGGTTTTGTTAGAAGGGCAAAAATTCAACCACTCTGTAGTGCCTCTTTCTGTCACACAATTAGAGTGCCAGGGTCACTTTGTTTACAAGATGATCCTGTGACCACTGATAGCAGCTGAAGCCAAAAGTGGCAGAGGTTGCAGAAATATTGAGGTTACCTCCATTCAAAGCTTGATCACAACATGGCAGAACCCACTGCAGATGAGATAAGGCAGATACGATTCTTTCCTCTCAATCTGATTTACCCAGTCCCATGTGGATACAGCCATGGATCTGTTCTCTTTGAAGTTAGCCAGATCTCATTTCTATAGTTATTTGATTTATTTATTTATAACCTGCTTTATTACGATTACAAATAACTCGCCTTTCTCCTATTTTCCCCCACAACAACCCTATGACTTGAGCTGGGCTGAGAGAGATCATCCAGCTGGCTTTCATACCTAAGGCAGGATTCGAATTCACAGTCTCTTGTTTTCTAGCCTGGTGCCTTTTAATATTTTCTAGCCTGGTGCCTTTTAATATTTTAAAAATATTAAAAAGCGAAAGGTTTCAAAATGGGCAGTTTGATGGAAGGGCACCATGTTGATTGAAACTTCTACTTCTTCTTCTTGTATCATATCCGTCATCGGACGTTGGCAATCATGTTGGCAATCCTATTTTTGTCAACAGCCGCATGAAAAGGTGCTGCTGAGTTTTGTCCAAACCAATCCCTTAAGTTTTGAAGCCATAATCATCTTCTTCTGCCTGGACCTCGTTTGCCTTCAATCTTTTCTCTGGAGGATTAAGTTGAAGGATGCTGTATTTTTCCGGGTGTCGCATCACCTGTCCAAAATATTCTAACTTTCGCTTTTGAATGGCTTTGATGATTTCCCTTGGCTTTCCCAGGTGGCTTATCACCTCCTCATTTGTGATTTTTGTTAACCCAGCTTATACGTAATAGCCGTCTGTAAATCCACATTTCAAATGCTTTTAGTTTCTTCAAGTGGATTTTTTTGTCAGAGACCAACTCTACCCCATATAAAGAGCCTTGGTGGCACAGCGGACTAAACTGCTGCTGTTAGAGTAGTACTTAGCTGTCAGCTGCCTGCAATTACTGCGAGTTCAATTGTCACCAGGCTCAAGGTTGACTCAGCCTTCCATCCTTTCAAGGTAGGTAAAATGAGGACCCGGTTTGTGGGGGCAATAAGCTGACTTTGTATAAAATAGAACACCGCTTGGGGGGGGCAAAAAAAGCCCTACTAAGCAGGTATATACAAAAGTATGAAGGCTATTGCTTAATGCATTGTAAGCCGCCTTGAGTCTCTGGAGAAGGGAGGCATATATAAATCGAACAAACAAACAAACAAACAAATAAATAAATAAATAAATATCTAGAGAGCCTGGATAGCTCTGCAGACTAATGCATTGTAATTTAACTCCAGCTGTCTGCAATTAGTAAGTTCGAATCTTGCCAGGCTCAAGGTTGACTCAGCCTTCCATCCTCTCTAAGGTAGGTAAATTGAGGACCCAGTTTGTGGGGGCAATAAGCTGACTTTGTATAAAATATACAAAATTATGAAGGCTATTGCTTAACGCATTGTAAGCCACCCTGAGTCTCCGGAGAAGGGCGGCATATAAATCAAATTATAAATACATACATACATACATACATACATACTCCGTAGAGCAGGATAGAAAAGATGTAACATCTGACAAGCCTGATTTACAGTCTTAGTCTTATGTCGTGATTGCAGAAGACCTTTTTCATTTTTTTTTTCATTTCTACTTACTATCTAATATTTGCAAATGCATCTCCCATCTTGGTGCTCTCCAAGTCCTGAGCAGCCTATTCTTTCACATGTTTTCTTGACCTCCTGTACTAGCCAGTCCCTTTCATCCGATGCCCTACTTTTTCAGTTGTTTCCTGCTACAGGAACTAACTAGCAAGGTTCTCTAGGGACATTCCTATGATAACTTTCAAAGCCTAAGACATAAAAAGGTGGAATGCAGAAACTGGCCCTTTCTTCCAAATGTACAAATACGACTTTAGTCACCCAATATACTAAACTGCTGGTTTGAGTGTCTCTTACACTGACATTTCAATTATGCAAGTTGGAAATGAACCGTTAACGCATGGATAGTCTTTTATCTGTGCGAATCAAGAACTTAAAACATGATTTCCCCATTCAAGATACGTCTCATGGAATGACTCAGGAAGACATAAGTAATAATTCTTGATTATTTGTCGGAAAAGAAATTGCATCTAGGTTTTGTGTCCAAAGAAAAAATATCTTGTTTGGTGAAATTCTCACAAATGGGACAGATGCTTTACTTACAAAGTTAGCAAAGGAAGTTTCACCTATCTTTCATTGTCCATTGTTAAGTGCTGGGAATTTTATTTCTTCGTTTATTAGATTTAAAGGCCACCCAACTCCAAAATAATTCTGGGCAGATGAAACTAGAAAAAAAAATACTAAACCAGAAGAATATAAATGTTGAAAGACACACATTCAAGACACTTTCAGTATGCCCCAAAGAGTGAGAAAAGAGCCACATTTCTAGAACATATTAGGGTGAAAGCTACATGGATTTCTGGGGGAATGCTATTCCAGAATGCCAATATCACAACAGAGAAGGTCTTGTTAGAAGGTTCCGAGGTCCTGTTAGATGGCATTATTTGATAGACACTGACTCTCTTAATGATGGCAAGAAACCATGGGAGAGAAATGACCCTCAATCAGGCTCCAGACCATGAATCTAGTAGGTGATGGTAAAGATAAAGGTTAAGGTTCCCCTCGCATATATGTGCTGGTCGTTCCCGACTCTAGGGGGCGGTGCTCATCTCCATTTCAAAGCCGAAGAGCCAGCACTGTCTGAAGATGTCTTCGTGGTCATGTGGCCAGCATGACTAAATGCCAAAGGCGCACGGAATTCTGTTACCTTCCTACTAAAGGTGGTCCCTATTTTTCTACTTACGTTTTTTACATGCTTTCGAACTGCTAAGTTGGCAGAAGCTGGGACAAGTAACGGGAGCTCACCCCATTACGCGGCACTAGGGATTCAAACCTCTGAACTGCCGACCTTTCGATCAACAAACTCAGCATCTTAGCCACTGAGCCACTGCATCAGTAAAGACGTATAAAATTGCACAGTCATATTGATATCGATAGATTATTGAAAATCGATAAATTTTCGACTAGAAGCCTTCTGGACACAGTTCAAAGTATTGGTTATCTATTATGAAACTCTTCATGGCTTTGTGTCTAAAGGACTGTCTGTCTTCCTTTAGAGCAAACTTCCATAGTTCAGAATAACAGAATTGGAAGGGACTTCGGAGGTCTCCTACTCCAGTGTTTTCCAAACTTGGCTATTTTAAGATGCATGGACTTCAACTCCCAGAATTCCCCAGCCAGTATGCCTGGTTGAGGAATTCTGGGAGTTGAAGTCCATACATCTTCAAAGGGTCAAGTTTGGGAAACACTGTTCTACTCCAACCCCATGCTCAAGCAGGAAACTATTGACTTCCAGACAAATGGTTGTCCAATTTCTTCCTAAAAACCTCCAGTTTTGGAGAATCCACAACTTCTGGAGGAGAGTCGTTCCACTGATTAATTGTTTTAACTGTCAGGAAATTTCTCCTTAGTTCTAGGTTGCTTCCCTCCTTGATTAGTTTCCACCCATTGCTTCTTGTTCTACCCTCAGGTGCTTTGGAGAATAGCTTGACTCCCTCTTCTTTGTGGCAGCCTCTGAGATGTTGGAACACTGCTATCGTGTCTCCCCTAATCCTTCTTTTCATTAAACTAGACATACCCAGTTCCTGCAACCGTTCTTCATATGTTTTAGTCTCCAGTCCCCTAATCATCTTTGTTGCTCTTCTCTGCACTCTTTCTTGAGTCTCAATATCTTTTTTTGCATTGTGGCAACCAAAACTCAGTTGATCAGAATTGGCCTAGTCTCTTCTATTCAGCAGCCTCATCTGACAGTACCCAGGAAGCATGGCCTTCTCTGTTACAGCACCTGCTCTCTGGAACACCTTAAGATTTGCCTGGTCCCCACCTTAACCATGTTTGAAAGAGACCTGAACATTTGGCTTTTCCCACAGGCCTTGGGGTTAAAATAGGTCCTACATATTGTACCATTTTAGAATAGATGTTTTTTTTCTCCTCCAGACAGTTGGGGTGTTTCATCCGTATTTTCATAATGCCTTGACTGTATGCCAGCCAGAGTGACGGTGGAGTTGGACAGCAACATCAATTTAACAAATATATAAATAAAGGCCTCTCTCTTCAGCCGCTTCTCTGGCAACTCATGCTTCGACACTAAATCTCCAGGGAAATTCCTCCCAGAGGCTGTTCCACCTTTTCATCATTCTGCAGGAAGAAACAGCATCTTAACCCTTGCTTGGCTCTATGCGAGACGTTTGCTTCTAAAAGCTTCCAGCAGAAATTGGCACCTGAGGGAATAAGCAAACCCATATCCCATTATGTAATGCTTAGGCAGATCTGAAAGAAGCCAATTGAAGCCATCTCTTCAGTGGCAGATATTTCTCTCAGGAGAAATAGGATCTTTTGAGAAAGCAGACCAAGTTTTCTGTTCTTCACAGGAAATATCTTTACCACTTTTTTTTTTTTTTTTGCAGTTGTAGCCTAAAGGAACTAGGAATATTTTGTGGTTTTATATCAAATTGGGGAGGAAAACAAGAACACAAAAAATCTGCCTCTGCCTTCCAGCCCCAGCACGTGGCTCGTCAGGGCTCCGCTCCATTGAGCCCACCACTTGTCAGCTGAGCGATAGCTGGATCTCGGCCTCCCGTAGGCCCGCCAATCAGTGGGCTGGCCAACCAGAAATGGCACTATTGCTGCTTCCTCTGTGTCTGCTGCCTCCGCTGGGGAACACTGGAGCCTTCGCCAGCGTTCCCCGGCTATCGCCGCTTCCCACCGCCGCCTATCACCACCACTTGCCGCCATTGTTCACCACCGCTGCCTATCGCTGATTGGATCAACCTCCTGGAATGCCGCCGATCGGCTATTCCAGGCAGTGGGGATCGCCACTGCCTATCTCCGCTACCACCTGTTGCCACCGCCACTGTTCGCCAGTGAGTGGTGGCAGTGGCAACAGCAGTGGTTGGCAGCTATCCCCACCGCCTGGAACAGCTGATCAGTGATATTCTGGGAGGCTAATTCAACCGTCGATAGGTGAATGGCGAGCAGCAAGTGGTGGCGATGGCGAATGGCGGTGGCAGCAATAGGCAATATTCGCTCCATAAGACGCACAGATATTTCCATCCACTTTTTGGGGGGCAGAAAAGTGTGTCTTATAGTGCAAAAAATACGGTAGTTATTGGATGGCACCAATGACATCATCCAGGATGTGGTGCTCCATTCTCCGTGCAAAAGTGAAGTTCTGGGCTTGTGCTCAAAATCTTTTTCCCTGTACATTTTGTTTTAATTTAGTTCTCTCTGAAGTTGTAATTCACGTTTGGCCTACCCCCAAAACATGATCAGCCGAAAGTGACCTGGTTTTGCCTTCTCTGCAGCTAAACTCGCCTGCTAAAAATATAGTGGATTGTTATTTGCAAAACGAAAACAAAAATGATGTTGGTTATTGTAATCTTACAGGGTTTTTTTCCCCTGAAAATATATCTGCGAGCCGACAAGATACCATTTACAATTTAGGCACCAGACACTATGTCATCTCACACTTTCCTTCCCCCTCCAACAAAATTAAAAATGGCCTGGAGTTTTGCAAAATTGATTTGCAACAATCTTGTGGCATCTCACCGGGGAAGGCTGAGCTCTTGCAAGGTGTTTGATTCTCACTTTAATTCAGTGAGACATTCTCCAGATTTAGTGCTGGTCTGTCTGTCTTTCTTTCTTTCTTTCTTTCTTCCTTTCTTCCTTCCTTCCTTCCTTCCTTCCTTCCTTCCTTCCTTCCTTCCTCTTTCTCTTTCTTTCCTCTTTCTTTTCTTTTTTCTCTTTCTCTTTCTTCTTTCCTTCCTTCCTTCCTTTTCTTTCTCTTCTGCCTTTTTACACTAAGAATTGTGTTTGGATCAATGTTCCCTGTCACCTTTGCAAATAGAACGCAAGATTGGATCCTCCAAATCTTTCTTGTGTACTGTTGCAGTGGATTACACTTCTCCAGTTTCGTGGTAGTTTTATGGATCACATCTAGGGAAGCCATTTGTGACGAGATCTTTTCTGAAGGCATTATTTTCTATTCTGCCTTTGTTGCATTAAAAAAAACTCTGCACTATGTTTGTGGACAGAAAATTTAAGGTAATGCAAATCCCATTCTGCCTTTGTAATTGCACATGTCTTCTTTGTAAGAAAGACTATGATTGATACCTGTATGTAGAAAGGGTGATTGGAGAAAAGTGCTAACGAATCAAAGAGCTGGGGTAGATAAGTTGTAGAAAAGGAAGCGAGAGGATGTTTGTATTGTATACAGCAATAGCAATAGCACTTAGACTTATATACCACTTCAAAGTGCTTTACAGCCCTCTCTAAGCGGTTTACAGAGTCAGCATATTGCCCCCAAACAATCAGGTTCCTCATTGTACCGACCTTGGAAAGATGGAAGGCTGAGTCAACCTTGAGCTGGTGAGAATCGAACTGCTGACAGTCGGCAGAATTAGCCTGCAATACTGCATTCTAACCACTACGCCATCATGTTTTGCGATAAGATTTCTGAAATGTAATTCAGATATAAAAAGAGGTTGAGATTCCAGAAAGAGTGCAGAAAAAAGATCAACTAAGATGATCAGGAAGAACAGTTATAGGAATTGGGTATGTCTCGTTTAATAAATTTCCCAGTTGCAATGTATGGCTGTGAAAGTTGGACCATAAGAAAGGCTGACCACCAAAGAATTGAGACCTTTGAACTCTGGTGCTGGAGAAGACTCCTGCGAGTCCCTTGGACTGCAAGGCGATCAAACCGGTCAGTCCTAGAGGAGATCAACGCTGACTGCTCTTCAAAAGGCCAGATCCTGAAGATGAAACTCAAATACTTTGGCCACCTAATGAGAAGGAAGGACTCACTGGAGAAGAGCTTAATGCTGGGAACGATTGAGGGAATAAGAAGGGAACGACAGAGAATGAGGTAGCTGGATGGAGTCACCAAAGCAGTCGGCGTCAGCTTAAATGGACTCCAGTGGATGGTAGAGAACAGGAAGGCCTGGAGGAACGTTGTCCATGGGGTCGCGATGGGTCGGACACGACTTCGTAACTAACAACAACAACAACATTTAATAAAAAGGACATGGGTAGCAGTGTTCCAATATCCAAGGGACTGCCACAGAGAAGAAGGGAGGGGGTCAACTTATTCTTGAAAGCATCTGAAGGCAGAGCAAAGAAGCGATGGATGGAAATTAGTCAAGGAGAAAAACCAGCCTAGAACTAAGGAGTCGTTTCCTGACTGCGAGATGTAGTATAATGCTCTTTCAGGATTAGCTAGGTGTTTATTTGTCTCCTAGTCAACCTGTATTCCATGCAAGCCTCCAGATTGAGTAGGTGGGAAGTGAATTGAGACCGAAGCGCACTGCTGTTCCTAAAACAGCATCAGCCCCCCTCCCAAGCATTAGCTTTCATACCTCTCCAACAATGCTTTTGCAGCCCACTTCCAAACTGTTTCTCTCTCTCTCTCTCCCTCTCCCTCTCCCTCCCTTGATTAAAAACCCTTACAGGATGGGAGATTAGGGTTTGAGGGACATAGAAAGGAGAGGCATGGAAACCCCCTGGCACCTGAATCTTCTCAGAAATGTTTAAATGTCCTTTTGCACCTGTGTTATGAGGGTCAGTTCGGTGCAGTAGCTAAGACATCAAGATAGGAGTGTTTTTTCAAGCTTAGCAACTTGGAGATATGTGGGACTGATCCAAGGTCACCCATCTGGCTTCATGCCTAAGGCAGGACTAGATTTCACCGTCTCCCAGATTCTTTTTTTCAATCTTAGGCGACTTTCAGATAGGTGAACTTCAACTCCCAGAATTACCCAGCCAGAATCCTGGAGTTGAACTTCACACGTGAACTGTTCATCCTTGCTGGCAGGGGAATTCTGGGAGTTGATGTCCACCTCTCTGTCAAAGTTCAAGAAATATTGACCTAGAAACTGGGAGACCATGAGTTCTACTCCTGCCTTAGATACAAAGTCACTAGGATGACCTTGGATGAGTCCAGTGGTGAAATCCAAATTTTTTTACTACCAGTTCTGTGGGTGTGGCTTGGTGGGCATGGCAAGGGAAGGATACTGCAAAATCTCCATTCCAACCTCACTCCAGGGGAAGGATATTGTAAAATCTCCATTCCCACCCCACTCTGGGGCCAGCCAGAGGTGGTATTTTGCCGGTTCTCCGAACTACTTAAAATTTCCGCTACCGGTTCTCTAGAACCAATCAGAACCTGCTGAATTTCACCCCTGGATCAGTCCCTCTCTCTCTCTCTCTCTCTAAGCCCTAGGAAGCAGTCAATGGCAAAACGTTTCCAAAATCCTACCAAGAAAACTGCAGGGATTTTTCTAGGCAATCACAAGGAGTCGGCAATGACTCAAAAAAAATAATAAAAGGAAAGAAGTAGCTAATTACTTAGCAGGGAGAGGGTTTCGTGCTAGTAAAGGAAATGTCCCCGTTACTGAAATTAAACTTTTAGTTGGGCAGCTAATGATTTAGATTCTCCAAGAACATTATCCCCTGCATGCTAAAAGCACAAAAAATTATTTCATTGCGGGTCTTACGCAAAACTGTGCTGCCAGGCATGTACATGCTTATGGCTTTCTGAGAGGCATGTGCCGTCAGAGTGGGTGATACGGAGAAATGTAAGGGAGAGCGTAGTAAGCATTTTCTGCTGGAGCAGCAGCATAAGAAAAATGATAAATCATGAACAATTATGCTGATTAGCATGGGCCTTTGGCTATCAAAAGAATGACACCAAAACATCAAATTAAACATGTTTTGAGAGCTATCCAGATAGTTAATCTAAGAAACCCCTCTTTTGCAAATCAGGATACAGGTTGGACTTTCCTTTTTCTTCCTGCCTGACTTTGTAGAAGAATAGATAAAGGTAAAGGGTTCCCTCGCACATATGTGCTAGTCGTTCCCGACTCTAGGGGGCAGTGCTCATCTTCTTTTCAAAGCCGAAGAGCCAGCGCTGTCCTAAGACGTCTCCGTGGTCATGTGGCCGGCATGACTCAACGCCGAAGGCGCACGGAACGCTGTTACCTTCCCACCAAAGTGGGAAGAATAGCCTTCCATTAATTCAAGTTGAAAGCAGTGGTGGGTTTCAAAAATTTTTACTACCGGTTCTGTGGGTGTGGCTTGGTGGGCGTGGCGTGGCTTGGTGGGCGTGGCAGGGGAAGGATACTGTAAAATCTCCATTCCCATCCCACTCCAGGGGAAGGTTACTGCAAAATCCCCATTTCCTCCCAATCAGCTGGGACTTGGGGGTCAGAGAATAGATGGGGGCGGGGCCAGTCAGAACTTTTACTACCGGTTCTCCAAACTACTCAAAATTTCCGCTACCGGTTCTCCAGAACTGGTCAGAACCTGCTGAAACCCACCACTGTTTGAAAGGGTTATTTTCACAATATTTGATGGATGAATGGATGGATACAGTTGTGTAGTCCCCAAAGCTTATATTTAATGCTACAAAGTAATAGCATTGTTTTTCATTTTTTTCAAAAGGAGTTATTTGTAATGTGTTTAAAGTTTAATGTATACTTCCTTTAAAAAAAAAAAAAAGAACTGTGGTTTGTTATAGAGGATAAGACTTAGCCTCAACATTCAACACTGAGTCAACATTCAAAGTTTAGGAGGAGGCACTCCATCTAAATAAAAGAGAGCAGGATTATGCTGAATTATGCTCAAAGCCACTGCATCAGTCTGTTTGTATTATCGTGCAGTGCATATGTATACATTTCCTTGGATTCAAGCGATGCCATGATAACAGATAATAGAGGCAATGCATATGTCCTCTCTTTGCTGCCTTTATAGCAAAATAAACTGTAAGCTCCTGTCAGACCTCCCAAGCTGAAGCTGCTGAAAGCTCTTTAAGCGTGCTGCCTTCCGAACCACAAGAACCATTAGCAAGACCGGGCAAGCGTCTCTTGGAGACCACCAGAGCTGGGAGCAAAGTAGATTGCTGGCATATTTTCAACCTGGGCCTTAAGGGAATTAGCTAGGCAGTACACAAAGCAAAGATTTGTGTATATTCTGGCCCTAATCTTATATCAAAGCCCAGGAATCTGTAGAGATGTGAGAAGATCTTTCTACTTGCAAGTTAGAGTAATGTTTCCCAACCTTGGCGACTTGTAAGTGTGGGCTTCAACTCCCAGAATTCCCCAGCCAGCATAAGCATTGTGTTCTATCCCGGCTGCCAAACACGGCAAACCCTTTATAGTTAAATAAATGTTCCCTTTATTAGGAGCGCCAGCAGCCCTGGCAAAAAGTCTCTCTCACACACACCGCAGGCTAACCAGTCTGTCCGGCAGGAAGATGAATAGTTTTCTTCCACACCTATTCATCTCCACTCCCTGCCTTTTATCCCCAGAGCTAGGGTGGGGCTTTGCTAGCAGTAGTGGCTCTTCCGTCCCAAGGACCGGCCCATAGATTTCCTCTGTTCTCCTCTTCTCTGCTTTCTGTGCATCCGCACATCAGGCACTGGACCCAGCTGTTCCTCCTCTTCCTCATCAGCCACCTCCAGACCTGGGGGCTGTTGACTCTCCATCTGAGGGCTGATGGATGGCCCAGGCTCCGCCTCTGTCTCTCTCTCTCTCTCTCTGACAGCTCCATTCCCGCTTCCCCCTCGGAGCTCTCAGGTTGCCTTGATGATGGCTCTGACTCCCACACCTCCTCCTCCTCTGGTTCGGCTGCTGGAGGGGCCGGCGGCCAACAGGCCACAACACATAGCTGCTTGGCTGGGGAATTCTGGGAGTTGAAGTCTACTCACCTTAAAGTCGCCAAAGTTGAGGAACATTAGTTTAGGAGATCATCAGGAAAAAGGGGGTCAGCCTCAAAACTAGCACACCTTTGTTTCAGGCATATATTTTGCCACCAACATCTCACTACAAGTGGAAGGTACTAGGTTGGGGAAGGCTGATGCAGCAGGAGTTTGAAATACTTTGAATGTCTCAAAGATGCTTTTCCAAAAGACAAGTGGACATTCTTGGGGTTTTTTTTCCCTTGAAAATGTTTCACTTCTCATCCAAGAAGCGTCTTCAGTTCAAGGGGAAAAAAATTAAGAAAGTCCAGTTCCCTTTTGGAAAAGCGTTTTTGGGACAACCATAACCTGGATGATTGAGAATCTCCCTAGACATTCAAGCTTGAATGGTTTACTCTTACCACGAACAATACAATGAATGTCACAGGATGATTTGGCCATCATAAAGTCCCTTCATAGCATTCCTTCTTGGCCATTCTTAACAGACGTCCATACAGCAGTGAAAGAGAATAGGGGAGAGATCGGGGGAAAGAAATAGACATCATTTAAATGAACATAATTTCAATGTTGACTTCCAGACTTGATTAGCTCCCATCCACTGAGAAAGGAAGAATAAACCCGTTTATTTATTGCTCTTGGATACCATAAAAAAAACCCCAAGCATTAAGTTTGCAAGAAATCTGGGTTCTTCCTAATGCACATGTTGCTCTGCTTGCTGTTGACTTATTTTTTTTTTAATCTCTCTTTCCCTCCTCTTCTTTTTTTTTTCTTTTTTTTAGATGAGAAGAATTTCCTGCCTTGCAGAAAAGAAAGACTTCAATGTGGGGATAGCTTCTGCTTGATGAATTGACCGCTTTTGCTACTACAGGAAGGACTGTGGCAAAGATAAAGTCTCCATCCCAGTGACATGTTCAGGTGAATTTGATCCCCTTGGGTGCATCAAGCGTGGTGGTTCACACAGAGCCATTCAGCTGAGATTTCTGCTACTTATCACAGGATGGAGTTGCGTTGGGCTATCAGGTGGCTAGGCTTAAAACGATGTCAACCTTTAGTGAGCTGTTCCTTGAATATTTTGTTGAGAAGAACATTAAGAAGAAGCAGAGCCGACTTCCAGAACATTGCAGAGGGTTCATATTCTATTCCAGGGGTCTCCAACCTTGGCAACTTTAAGACTTTTTTTTTTAAATTTGATTTATATGCCGCCCTTCTCCGGAGACTCAGGGCGGCTTACAATGCATTAAGCAATAGCCTTCATACTTTTGTATATTTATACAAAGTCAGCTTATTGCCCCCACAAACTGGGTCCTCATTTCACCTACCTTAGAAAGGATGGAAGGCTGAGTCAACCTTGAGCCTGGTAAGAGTCGAACCTGCAGTAATTGCAGACAGCTATGTTAATAACAAGGTGCCTTAGACCACTGTACTACCAAGACTTGTGAACTTCAACTCCCAGAATTTTCTCAGCCAGCAAAGCTGGAAGTTGAAGTCTACAAGTCTTAAAGCTTTGCTGGCTGAGGAATTCTGGAAGTTGAAGTCCACAAGTCTTAAAGTTGCCAAGGTTGAAGACTCCTGTTCTATTCCATATCAAAAGCCCTCTGCATAAGGAAAACTGGGCACCTTAGGAAGGTTAGATGAGGTTAGGTTAACCTTATCTTTCTCAAAACATGCTAGCTGTCTGTGAGCAGAGATGTTCAGATTAAAAACACCCATCAGATCTCATCAGTAGCAAAACATCCGAATGAAGCTACATCTGGTGGGTTTTCAAACCATTAAGAGTATTTTAAAAATGCATAAAGAACAGTGTCTTTGCAAGAAGGCAAGTCAAGGAGGTTAAACAGTTGGGAGTACTTTTGCAAATGAGGCATATTAAGCGTATACTCAAGGTTACTTAATGCAAATTAATTACCTTTTAATGGTATTTAATTATTCCGCCTTACTTGCAGTTAAGGGTAGCAGAATTTTAAACGAGGGCTTCTTGGTCAAGGGAAATGATATGTTAGCAACGGTGAAGTTACAAATGCAGTGTGTCGTGTCTTCTGTACTTTGTAATGTAGAAAACAGAATTGTGACCTTGGGTAAGAGCATTTTTTCCTCTATAAAGTGCATAGACATGAAACAATGTGGGAGACAGAGTAGCAACACGGTCCATTCGAATGTCAGTCACAAAAGATTTGATTTGTTGAGTGTTGGGATAGATTTCCTTGAGAAGAAACCACAACTTCGACAACCTTCATTGTAGGTTGCTGGTTGATAGTGTTGATCTAAAGAAAGTAATCCAGTGGTGGGTTCCTCCCGGTGCGGCCAAGCCGGTAGCGGTGATGATATGACATCACCGAACCGGTTCTCCCTCCCCACCCCCCCATGTTATTCTTACCTTTTATTTGGTCCCACCCCCAATCTATTGCTGCCTCCTGAGTCCCAGCTGATGACTAGAGGGAAAAAAACTGTTTAAACTCTTGCCGCGGGGCTTCAAAGGGCCATCCTACAGCTGATCAGTGTTAAAAGCAAACAAATGAGTCAGGTCGTAAGTGCGAGGACTGGTCGTAAGTGCAAGGACCTTCCAGAAATGACTCTGACCAGCTAGCCACGCCCACCTAGTCACATGACCTCCAAGCCACACCCACAAAATAAGCCACGCCCACAGAACCGGTAGTAAACGTTTAGGAAAAGTATCTTAGGTAAAAGATGGGATCCTTCTTCTGTACAGGTTTTTTGTGGGTTTTTTTGTTTTGTTTTGTTTTGTTTTGTTTTTTTTGACAGTCTGTGTGTCATGGTCAAGGTATAGATTCAGTTTTTCCTTGTTGTTATTTTTTTAAAAAATGCATTTATCCATTTATATCCTTTCTTCTCAAACTGAACAATAAAGTATGAATGGAATTCATCACTTCATCCACTTTCAGCTAGAGGAGAAATACGGTGGATCGCAGCATTCCGCAAATGAGAAAGACCGTTTAGGTCAAAAGTAGCCCATAGCACACTTCAGGAAATCCAAATTAAAGCATCTTCAACTAGTCTCTGTTCAGCCTTTACTTGAGCATGGCAGCTGCAGTAGTAAAAGGAAGATAATTGGTTACAATGTCACTCTGCAGTTACCATTGAGAAACCTGAACTAGAGAAAGGCACATAATTGGCTATACTGTCAATCTGCTGTTACTATTAAAATTCTTCCAGACTCTGCCTGCTGAGAATTTATTCTGCATCTTGCATTATGGGACTGCAGAGACACAGTCTCCACTTTTTTTCTATATGACAAGCTGTCTAGCATTTGAATGATGATGAGGAATAGAATAGAATAACAGAGTTGGAAGGGACCTTAGAGGTCTTCTAGTCCAACCCCTGCCCAGGCAGGAAATCCTACACCACTTCAGACAAATGGTTATCCAACATCTTCTTAAAAGCTTTCAGTGTTGGAGCATTCACAGTTTCTGGAGGCAAGTCGTTCCACTTATTAATTGTTCTAACTTTCAGGAAATTTCTCCTTAGTTCTAAGTTGCTTCTCTCCTTGATGAGTTTCCACCCATTGCTTCTTGTCCTGCCCTCAGGTGCTTTGGAGAATAGTTTCACTCCCTCTTCTTTGTGGCAACCCCTGAGATATCGGAAGACTGCTATCATGTCTCCCCCAGTCCTTCTCTTCATTAAACTAGACATACAGAGTTCTTGCAACTGTTCTTCATATGTTTTAGCCTCCAGTCCCCTCATCATCTTTGTTGATCTTCTCTGCACTCTTTCTAGAGCCTCCACATCTTTTTTACATCGTGGCGACCAAAACTGGATGCAATAGTCCAAGTGTGGCCTTACCATGGCATGATAAAGTGGTATTAACACTTCACGTGATCTTGATTCTATCCCTCTGTTTATGCAGCCCAGAACTGTGTTGGATGATGTTGTTATCCATTTAGCCGTGTCTGACTCTTGGCATTTCTATGGTCCAAATCTTTCCACATCTTCCGATCTTGAGCTACTTCTTTGAGTTTTTCTATGCTCTGGCTGGTCTCAGCTTTGATGGCGTCCAACCACCATATTCTTTGGTGGCCTGGTTTCCTTTTAGCGCTAACTCTTCCAAAGATAATTGCTTTCTCCAGTGAATTCTCCCGCATGACACAGTCAAAGTAAACGAGACACAGTTTCATAATTTTGCCTTCTAGTGACATAGCAATAGCACTTAGACTGATATACCGCTTCCTAGTGCTTTATAGCCTACTCTAAGTGGTTTACAGAGTCAGCATATTGCCCCCAATAATCTGAGTCCCCATTTGACCGACCTTGGAAGGATGGAAGGCTGAATCCACCTTGAGCTGATCAGGATCGAACTCCTGGCAGTGAGCAGTGAGTTAGCCTGCAATACTGCATTCTAACCACTGTGCTACCACGGTTCATCTTTGATGTTAACCACTCCAGTGCTTGCTTGTTGGTTACCTTTGCTGTCCAAAGAATAAGCAGGAGCACCACAACTCAAAACACATCAATTTTCTTCCCGTCTTGCTTTTTTGTAAGGTCCAACAAACCCCTCTTCCTTTTCTGTTCAAGGCTTTCTCTTCAATATCCAGTTGCTCCTAAAAGGTTTCCCCAGCACTTAATTCCTTGTCCTTTGATTGTTTTCATTGCTTTTCTCTTGAACTGGGTTGAGTTTCTCTCAATAGTTGCTGAAATTTAGTCCCCAAGATTAGTCAAGGTGAATTGATTAATTTAGTATTTGGAAGCGCTCCTTCTGTTGATGCAGCTTGAAATTGCATTTTCTGTCTGTCTGTCTGTCTGTCTGTCTGTCTGTCTGTCTGTCTGTCTATCTATCTATCTATCTATCTATCTATCTATCTATCTATCTCTTCTATCTATCTATCTCGGCAGTCATTTCTCATTGCTGACTCTACAATTCCAGGATCCTTTCCATGTCTGGTAATTACCGAGCGAGGCATTTCTCATCCTCTACTCGGATCTTCTGATTTCTTTTTCTTAAGTGGAGAATTTGGAAAAATACTCAGCATTACACATGCACGCACACAAGTATGTATAAATAATGTGATAGCGCAGAGTTTACAAGCAGAGCTTTATCCAAATAGTGTGGTTGCCAAGGGATTTTGTCATCCCTGCTAGAAGCACTGCATAATGAGAAGTGACTTCCAGCCAAACATTCAATAATGAGAAGCAGCTCCAGGCCAGATAACATGCATTTATAAATGTTAACTTATAAAGAGAGAGGAAGGAAAAGACAAAAGTATTCAACCATTGCAATGCTAAGCAGACTCTCAGAAACTATAATGCACAATAGCAAAGAGAAATACAATTCTAGGAAAACATTTCAGGATCTGCGAGTGCTTTTCCTGGTCCATATTTACTAAAGGCTATTGTGTGATAAGGATAGATTATTTGGGTGGAAATGCCTGTTTTTTTTGGAAATTGGGATGCGGTGGCTCAGTGGCTAAGATGCTGAGCTTGTCGATCGAAAGGTCAGCAGTTCAGAGGTTTGAATCCCTAGTGTCGTGTAATGGGGTGAGCTCCCGTTCCTTGTCCCAGCTTCTGCCAACCTAGCAGTTCTAAAGCAAGTAAAAAATGCAAGTAGAAAAATAGGGACCACCTTTGGTGGGAAGGTAACAGCATTCCGTGTGCCTTTGGCATTTAGTCATGCTGGCCACATGACCACGGCGACGTCTTTGGACAGTGCTGCCTCTTCGGCTTAGAAACGGAGATGAGCACCGCCCCTTAGAGCCAGAATTGACTAGCACGCATGTGCGGGCAAACCTTTACCTTTACCTATTGTGTGATAAGGATGGATTATTTGGGTGAAAAGGCCTGTTTTTTCAGAAGTTGCTAAGCTTGTTTGCTGTGTGTTTCCAATATGGGTGCACAATCATCTTTGCTCCTTGCACACTCCTTCTCAGCAATGTATCTTCCTTGTTGATGATCTTGAGAGCCTTGGT